GCTGGAGACTCCCTTGATCTGTTGGGTTTAGATCTGAGTCCCGAGCATGTCAAATCAATGTCTCTATGGCGTTGATTGATGAGACAGATGATCTGTCACTGCTCGTGATCGTTGGGGTGGAGCGTTTTTGTCCATGTAAACAGGACTAGTACTTTTGTCCATTAAATGCCACTGAACTGTCTCCAAGTCAGGCTTACAGTCCCATACCATAATGGAGCCTCCACCAAATTGCACAGTTTCTTGTATGCTGTGATGTCTGTGCAAACACGAGTCCTACCACATCAGCACGGTGCAAAGAAAGCGACTATGTTCAGTCCAATGAATTTTTCATGATCTCAAATTGTAGAGCGCCCGTGCTAGACATCAAACTAGACGTGTCTGCCTGGTGAGACGCGTGGACGTTTGATTGTCTTCTAGCCCTTAATTCTACTGCACTGTTTCGGCGTCTGACAAATGGAAACTTTATTATTGGTATACCAGTGATGACCAAGAACCTTACATGTTGGGTCTTGCCTGGCGTTCAAGGTCTCACTAGTACTGGCGATTCACTAAAATGAGAAGCACTGCCCCAATAGCCCTGCCCCAATAGCACTGCCCCAATAGCCCTGCATGGCATCCAAACTTAGTTCATGTTTATAATTTCTATTTTCAGTTATAGGCATGTACGTCTACAGTTGCTTGTAGATAATCTTCAGGTTGGTAGCAGAGTATGTGGCAGTAAATATATCCAAACGTGTTATGATCAAATTTTAATTTTAACAGTGAAAGCCCTGCATTGTACAGAAGGAGGATGGATTTACGTCACTTTTAGCATTGTCACGGAGGGGACATCAGAAATTGGCTTCACACATTGCTCTTATATCATCGTTCAGTTCAATGGGTGCATGCACAATGGCTGTTAAACAGTAACGCATGAATGCGCTTGTTTCTCATACACACCAGTCGCTATGTCAAAGTAACCTGGATATTTTGAAGCTATTTGTCATGTGGACATATGTGCAACGCGCTTGTAAATGTTGTGTTGTTTCAAATGTAAACTGGCTTGGTTTTCTTCTTATATATATATATATATATATATATATATATATATATATATATATATATATACATATACATATACATATACATATACATATATGATAAGATATAACGTTCATTTGATTATTTTAACTGATACAAAACAACTTGCCGTTAAAATATATGTATGTATATTTGACTCATTTTATAATAATAGAAAGGTCTCGCTCACATCCTAAATTCGAAATTGCCAACTCCCCATGCTCTCGGTACCATTGATTGTGGTCCATTTTGGTCTGTTGGCGCAGATGAGGAGAGAGTGCCTAGGTTCATAGTTCTTCTGATACCATGGGTAATGCAGCGGGCTGCAGTGTTGGGGTCTGCATACCCTCAAAATAGTTCTTCATGGGATGGACGAAGCAGCGCTGCATAAAGTACTCACGGAAACAGAAATAAAGTAGGTTGTTTGGTGTTTGGGGTGGTTTTTTGGAAAAAAAATTTATTTTGTTTTTTTTTGGGGTCGCGTTCATTTGTTTTTTACTTCATTGAAATAGGTAGTTTTAACAAAGATAAAACTATGTGTTTCACAACTAGGCTTTGTCATATAGGTTCTCATCATCAAAAATACTATGTTACAGGTAAAAATAACACAAAATTGCATATCGTCAACAAATTTAGAAACATGTTATAGCCTACGTCACAATCAGCAATGGATCGGAACATCAACCTGCAGAACTGTTAAGACAAAACAATCATTAAAATGTACTAAACAAATCCCTAAATCAATTACTCTGTATGTCAATTAGGATAAAAGGGTGAATAGTATATGTCGTCTTTCATAAACTATATTATGTACGCGAACATATGGTGAGTACATCTCATTTGCATACTATAGCTTGCATAAGAAATGTACATTTTGACTTTGATGAAATTTAAAGGGGTAAAAATGACACGATTTGCTCTCCTGCAAACTAACTATTCACGATGGCTTTGCTTCTATTTGCATATTTCAGTGTCAGTTTGAAATCAAACAGGTGTTTCAGAGGTAAAAGACACAAGGCAAACAGCGGATATACATATAGACAAAATAAAAAAAAGAGGAAGTTATTTTTAAAACTTCGTACATCGTACATTCCATCCAAATAGTCAAAATCAATTCACTAACACTCAGGTTATATTTTTGTGCACATGCAGTTTTACGCCCACCATTGACTGACGTAGACCTTCAAAGTCACCCAATCACATACCAGAACATGACGTGTTTCAAAACTACTGGTTTTACAAATACGAAATCTTGAGATCACTCTTCTTGCATTCGGAAAGTACAATTCATACTGACTCTAGTATCTAAACCTCCATCTCTTAGTACAAGGCAATTCATCCATACTGACTCGAGCATCTGTCCAGTGCTTTTCATTGTAGAACACAAGTCATATTGACTGTAGCAGGCATATCTCAGTTACTCAACACAAGGCAATACAAGTCATACTGACTGTAGGAGCTATATCACATTTACTCAACACAGGGCAATACAAGTCATCTTGACTGTAACAGGCATATCTCAGTTACTCAACATAAGGCAATACAAGTCATACTGACTGTAGCAGCTATACATCCAACTCTTAGTACAAGAAAATACAAGTCATACAGTCTCGAGCATCTATATCTCCATCTCTTAGTACAAGGAAGTACAAGTCATACTGACTCGAGTATCTAAACCTCCATCTCTTAGTACAAGGCAATTCATCCATACTGACTCGAGCATCTATCCAGTGCTCTTCATTGTAGAACACAAGTCATATTGACTGTAGCAGCTATATCTCAGTTACTCAACACAGAGCAACACAAGTGATATTGACTGTAGCAGCTATATCCCAGTTACTCAAAACAGGACAATACAAGTCATATTGACTGTAGCAGCTATATCTCAGTTACTCAACACAGGGCAATACAAGTCATTTTGACTGTAGCAGCTATATCTCAGTTAATAAACACAGGGCAATACAAGTCATATTGACTGTAGCAGGCATATCACAGTTACTTAACACAGGGCAATACAAGTCATATTGACTGTAGCAGCTATATCTCCGTTAATCAACACAAGGCAATACAAGTCATATTGACTGTAGCAGGTATATCACAGTTACTTAACACAGGGCAATACAAGCCATATTGACTGTAGCAGCTATATCTCCGTTAATCAACACAGGGAAATACAAGTCATATTGACTGTAGCAGGTATATCACAGTTACTTAACACAGGGCAATACAAGCCATATTGACTGTAGCAGATCTATCTCAGTTACCCAACACAGGGCAATACAAGTCATATTGACTGTAGCAACTATATCTCAGTTACTCAACACAGACCAATACAAGTCATATTGACTGTAACAACTACATCTCAGTTTTTCAACACAGGGCAATACAAGTCATATTGACTTTATCAACTATTTCTCAGTTACTCAACACAGAGCAATACAAGTCATATTGACTGTAGCAACCATTTCTCAGTTACTCAACACAGAGCAATACAAGTCATATTGACTGTAGCAACCATTTCTCAGTTACTCAACACAGAGCAATACAAATCATATTGACTGTAGCTATATCTCAGTTACTCAACACAGAGCAATACAAGTCATATTGACTGTAGCAGATCTATCTCAGTTACTCAACACAGAGCAATACAAGTCATATTGACTGTAGCTATATCTCAGTTACTCCAGACAGAGCAATACAAGCCATACTGACTATAGCAGCTATATCTCCATTTCTTACTGCGAGGCAACACAACTCATACTGAATATAGCAGTTATCTTTGGGGAATATAAGACATATTTACTGAAGGTAAATAATAGATAATCTACAGAACAACCATCCTCGATAACTGTTTGTGCACTCAAGTAACTTAGTTAATCACCCTCTGACATATCTCACGATTGCATGTGCCTTGATCTTATCCCTTTGGAGCATATCTGGGACATGATTGGTCGTCGTGTACAACAAATGTGTCCTGTACAGAACCTGTCCCAATTGGAAGCAGCTTTTCACGAGGAATGGCGTAGACTGCCCCTTCAGAGGATCAGGGGGCTCACAGGGGATACGAGGAGGAGAGTGCTGGCTGTCATACAGTCACATGGAGGTTACACTCAGTATTGACCTTTAAATCCTGTGACATTTTAAATGTTCAAATTTACCAATAAATTCAACATTAAACATTCCAGGGTCATCCTTGTACAGACATGGTTTTGCATGAAAATCATTACCATCATACAATCATCATAGATTCCAATCATTTTGTCGTTCTTTATGAGTCAAAAGATCATACGGGGCAGAAAAAATCATGTTTTTCCATCGTGGTCACCACGAGATGTTTTATGTACGTGTTGAAAGCCTACATTGCACGGGTGATACTTGATTAAGTTTTTTTGTGTACATTTGGCCTAATTGCTCTCGACCTATCTGCAGCAATAGCTATTGATTATATGTAAATCAAGGGAATGCTTAAAACATTCCATGTGTATACAATCGGCCTCAATACATATATTACAAAATGACTGGAAATCGTTAACAATCTAGTTATGAAGCAATATAGAACAAGTTTTTATGGATAACAACTTCTTTATTTCGTGGGTGCGTCGCACTCAAGAAATAAAGAAGTTGTTATCCATAAATCTTGTTCTATATTGTACGTCTCAACTTCTAAAATGCCACTCAAACTAGTTATGAAGCAGCGTTTGTTTTGTTGATCACGACATAAAGATATAGATTGTATTCAATATCCCTGAAACTATTGAAGCCCTACTTTGGTAGAGTAAAGTTTCCTACAGTTAGCTGTACAAGTCATTGTCTGCAGTGTGAAAAGAACCTTTTGTGATGAAACATTCCCAGTGTGCTTTGTCCTTTGGCGATCATGTTTCGTTCATGTTACACCCGGTAATGCTTGGGTGGAGATGAACGGGTCTCTGCGGTAGGAGTAGTTACAGGCACGTTGTTGATCAGGGGACGATCAGAGTTACCTCCTGGCTTTAAAGCTAACAGACTCAAAAGGTAACAGCATTCACTCGTTACATCGATGACCCGAGTGTGATTACACACAATCATTTGGTAAAATGTGTAAAGCCCTTTGCTTCGTGCACCACACCACACCCCCACCCCCCACCCTGCTCTGGGATGTTGCTGGACTGTTACTTAATGTGGCTTAATACAATATTCACTCGTTCGCTCTCTTGTAAGGCTGCACTGTACCACAATACGTCAACCTCACCTCTCGCCATGGCATAGTAAACTAACAAGAAATAACTGCCTTTCTAATAACATGGGTTGAACCACAGGTTATTTTCAAATGATAGTTTGTTCTCAGTTTACAACGAGTGTTGAAAATATACAGAAAAATTTACATCCACTATTTAACATCATTCAGTGCTAGCTTGGAATCGACATTTTCCATTTAACCATTGAAAACTCGAAGTGCCCGAATGTCAATGTACACATGGAACCTAATTAAGCACTATGTAATTTGTTTCATCTTTGTGATGTAGCTATAGATGATGATGATGTGTCAATGGTGTCATTATTTAGGAGCAGATTTCAGGTAATGAAGAACAGCAGCTTGAAACGGCTTGCTACCCAGTCATGTCATGAAAAACAGTATCTATGCCTGGCCGTTCAAGGGTATAACACTTGTGATTATGCGATCATCTCTCATTTTGCTGACTTGTCACAATTTCCTCACACTGACTCAAGGTTGTGTGCTTATTTCTGTGTGTTAGGTCTACAACAAAATCTTTACTATAGATATTAAATATAATACATATATAAGTAAGGCATAGAGCCTTCCAATAAACCCTCTTGTGTATGAATCATTTAAATACATGCATATTCATAACATACATCACCCGGAAGTGACCTTCGTGTCACTGTAAAGAAAATCACCAGTACAGGTAGGTGGGTTTTGCCTCGTCTCCCACTTTGGCACTCTGCACATATGACTACTTGGTATTCAGAACCAAAACTTAATTGTATATGTCACTTACCGACTTATCACAATTTGCTCACATTGACTCATGATTCTGTGGTTCGGTGACATCCTGCAAGCTTCACAGCAAATTGTTTTCAACAATACACATTTATGTCAGGCATAGAGCCTTCCAGTAAACCCTTTTGCGCATTAATAATTCAAAAGCATGCATATTCATAACATACATGTAAGCCGGAAGTGACCATGTGGGAGCTTAACAGCGAACGAGATTACCTGTACAGGTAGGTGGGTTGTGTCTCGTCTCTCACTTTGTCACTGTGCACAGCGATAACTACTCGTTATTCAGAGTTAAAACTTACATGAATATATTAATATACTACCAGGAAGGACATGGTGGTACCTGTATCTTAATTTATTCGATGTATAGCCTAGTAATATTAAAAAATAAAGTAATAATTTCAGAACTCAGATTGCAACAAAAACTTCAACTACATCATTTACTGTTAGCTCACGTTTACTAATGTTAGATTCACAAGAGAAGTAACTGAAAATATTCAACATAACTGAGATTTCCAGTTGCATTTATCTAGTTTTAATATAATTCTGATACAAAGGTGTTTTGCAGGTGGAAAAACCACTTTTCAAACTCTTGTTAATGCGATATCTCATGCACTTTTGTACCCATTGTCTTCAAATTTGGTGTCATGAATATACATAACGGGTATCAGGGTGAGGTATGGTAATAGGGAGTGTGGTACCCGAGTACAAATTTGGGACCCATCCCAGCACTAATACACACTGATACTGACAGTCTATGTGACCAAAAGACGAAAAAACAAGTAAATATGTTATATTTAATTCTTCTTTAGAAGCGCGGGGAGGGCATTGCCGTGTTAGCGATAAACACTTGTTCTTCATGTAATGTCTGAATCAGGCACAAAGGATTCTGTTGTCGAGAGTCCCTTGTTGTACCTCCGAACGATCCAATACAAGCTCTGCTGATACACACTGATACTAACAGTGGATATGTACATCTGCATCTATACATGCAAACCTACTATATTCCTGAAATATGAGTTAGGAGTAGATTCTGAGATGTGACCATGAGTAAAAACTACACCACACAAAAGGTAATCTTCTATGTGACCAAAAGATAGAAAAACCAGTAAATATGGTATATTGTCGTTTCATTGTCGTAATGTCTTCATTGCCTTAATCCAACTGCGTTGAGTCGACGTCTGACAAATGGACACTTTATTATGGATAGACAAGTGATCACGATGGATGAACATTACACTTTGAGTCTTGCCTGGCGTTCAAGGTTTCTCTAGAACTGGTCATTCACTCAAATGCAGATGTTGGCAGATCATGTGTTTGCAAAAAAAACCGGCTAATAGCAGTGTTGTTAATTTTCAACACTGCTCCATTATCCCCCACCTGGCATCCCAACTTAGTTCATGTAAATGGGTTTTTTTGTTTCAGTATAGGACGCCTAGGCATTTCACGTCTTCAGGTGTTTTTTGTAAAATCTTTAGTTTGGTAGCAAATTCAGTTTAAATCGGTGGCAGTTGAGATACTAAAACATGTTAGAATCAACCTTTTCACAGTGAGACACCTCAGTTGTGCAGAAGGAGTGTGCTTTTTGGTCACTGATAACAATATCCGCAATATTAACGCATTAGCAATATTAACGCATTATCACGACGGGGGACATCAGAAATGGGCTTCACGCATTGCACCCATGTGGTGTAACGAGCGAAAGCTTTAACCACGAGGCTACCCCACCGACCCTGATGTGGTTTATGTGTGGTCAGTTTCAGATCACTGTCATATGATGCCCATGTTGCTGTCGCATAATGTTGACCACCACAAACAATGTCCGAAGACATACAAATGTTTCTGTTGTATTCGGACATCGGTCTGACACTGAACATTACAATGTAACTGACTTTTTTTTATTGGTGAACATTCCGGACATTCAATACCTCAAACCGTTGACAACGTCTATTTTACTTTTCAATTTTATTGTTGTTTATAACACTGATTCCATTAACAGAGTCGTGGTATTTAAAGGTCACATGCAACCAAAAAATCAAACATAATTAAAACACAATTATCACTTATTCATGACATATTATATACATTGCTGGTTACGAAAAAATATATAAACAAAATTATAAGCGTACAATCGCAAATCGAAAGTGCAAAATTGTGTACTTCGGTTTACTTCACAAGAAACGAAGCAGCCGGGATACCGAACCCAGTCAGAGCGGGTGGGTGTGCACTCAAGTGTAACGGCTGGTTCATTTGCAGATGCCTTCACGGCTAATATATAGAGATGTTGGGTTTTGTAAATACATGCTCATTTTTTGTGTATAACATTTTGCAATCAACAGACGTCATAACATGTCATGTGTTCAAGTATCACACCTGCCTGTCTGTGTAATTACATAATGTGACAGAGACCGAACTCGGGCCATAAATCAATGCATTTTGTTTATGGTGTATAGCCTGATTGGTGTTAAGTTCAAATTGCATGTGGTCAGTGATAGCAGCTGTGTATTGAATATTGTCATTAGCAGACAGGCAGGCAGACACACGGGTGTCAATAAAACAAGACATTGAGTTTTGTCTGTGACAACGACATATCTATATCACAGTTAGAAATTCTGTCAACGCTAAATAATGACATTGCTTTTAAGTATCGAACTGAGAAAGTGACTCGGTAAGAAGAACGTGTGGTGAAATAGACAAATGTAATTATATAAACAGTTTATTTACTGTCATAACATATAAAAAGCTCGCGCCTGTGAGATATCAACAAAACATTAGAAAAATAGCTCACACCAAAGCCTTCACCGAGTATTCACCCGACAACCCGCTTCCAAGCTGCGCGAACCTATTTACTTGCACGCGTGCTATGAGCGCAGCCCAGCTGTTGAAACCCGTTTTCCCCAGAAAAGTCTGGGGAAAATTAGTGAAACGTTTGAACTCCGATTTCGCGCGTTTATTTTCATCGTGTTATTTTTCAATTTTATTAGTCGAATTTGCATTTTTGACGATTTGTTTCGGTATGTCCATACCGAAAGGTATCAGAATCTGCAAAGTTGTGTTTTACGTTGCATGTGACCTTTAACATGCACCATATGTTTTTATCGAAAGTGTCAAACATGAAATATACAAAATGTCATTTGGACAATGAAATCTTGGGCTACATGTTTGTACAGGCTATTTGCATAGCTGGCTTTGGAGGGTTGTTCGAATGAATATCTCCCTGTCTCATTTTACACGGACGGTCAATTGATATCAGTGGTAGACGGTATTTGGTGTAGTAACGCAGTAAGGAAGGCGTTATCTTACATCAGAGCTCAATTCATATCGCAACGAAACGCCTGAATGCGCTTCTTTTCTCATACACACCAATCGCTAGGTCAAGGTACATTTGATATTTTGAAGCTATTGTTCAAATGTGCAAACGCACTTGTAAATGTTGTGTTGTTCCAAATATAAACTGACTTGGCTTTCATGTGATATACCGTTCATTTGGTTGCTTTAACTTTGAATACAAAACAACTTTGCCCTTTAAATATATATATTTGTACACGACCCATTTTGTGATAATAGAAATGTCTTGATTGCGTCCCAAGTTCGAAATTGTCCAACTCCCCATGTTCTCGGTACCATTGATGTTGGTACATTTTGATCTGTTAGTGCAGATGTGGGGAGAGTGCAGTGTTGGGGTCTCTATGTCCTCAGAATAGTTCTTGGTGGGGACGAGGCAGCGCTGCCTAAAGTACTCGTGGAAATAGAAATACAATGGTTTGGGGCGTTGTTTATTTGTTTTATTACTTCATTAAAATAGGTAGTTTTAACAATATTATAACAAAATAACTATGTTTTTCCCAACTAGGCTTGTTTTATACTGGTCCTCTAATCATCATTCAAAATACCATTTCCTCCCTGGCAACTGGTGAGGCCTGAAGTTGACCTAACTCTGACAAAGTTTAAGCAATCTGAAACTAATGACTTACAGTATAAACAAGAATATAATCAATTAAAAAATAAATATAATACATACAAATCTTTATTTACAGATGGGTCCAAAGATGGTGGCGCGGTGGCATGTGCCACTGTCACTGGATCCCGAACAATATCTTCTCGACTACCAAATAACAGCTCTATTTTCACAGCAGAAGCTAACGCCATATTAACAGCTTTTAAATATATTAATAAACACCGTAAATATAAACAATATATAATCTTTTCAGATTCTCTTTCGTGTCTTCAGGCTATTAAAAATCTTTCTTGTATACATCCTCTTTTATCAGAAATTATTAGATTGTATAATGAACTTGCTACTGGCCAATGCGACATCGTCTTTTGTTGGTTACCCAGCCACGTTGGCATTTCTGGGAACACAATGGCCGATCTTGCTGCTAAGGCAGCACTCAACAAATATGTGACACCACTTCTGATCCCATACTCTGATTGCAAAGCTAGCATTAGAACCTACATCCGTGATCTGATGCAGAAGAAGTGGGGCACCCAAGTAGGTATAAATAAATTACATGAAATAAAACCCTTGACTGTGTTGAATATTCCATCACAAGGGATATCTATTTCAAATCACGAACTATGAAGGATCTTTTTAATAATATAAGCTCTCATTTAATTATTGCATTTTTGAAAAGAATTAGATTTGTTAACTGATTTGTAAACAGATACATATTTTATCATTGGTAGTTTAGATTAGTAACTGAGATTTTTAGTGGCTGTACCCTCAAAGGGGGTTGAAGTAGCGTAAAATTATTGTCCTCCTGAGAGGGTACATAAGTCCCGAAACATTCAAAGGAAATTTGAATGTAGTATTTTTTTTTATTTTAAATTTCGGTTTAATCTTCGTATCATCGACAGCGGCTGAAGGGATGATATAAAAATTGCAAGTGTTCAAAATGACACGATTTGCTCTCCTGCAAACTAACTATTCACGGTGGCTGTGTTTCTATTTGCATATTTATAGTGTCTGTTTGAGTGAGTGAGTGAGTGAGTTAATATCTTACATCACATGTGTCCATTTGAAATTAAACAGGTGTTTCAGAGGTAAAGCCAACAAGGCAAACAGCGGATATACATGTACAGGCAAAAGAAAAAAAGGAGAATAAGTTATTTTTAAAACTTTATGTATCTTACTTTCCGTCAACTAGTACTCAAGGTATATTTTTTACACAAGCTGCTTTACGCTCACCTGGCATTGAATGACCTAGACCTCCAGTGTCATCCAATCACATGCCAGAACATGACGTTTTTCAAAATTATTTGGTTTTACAAATACGAAGTCGTGAGATCACTCTCCTTGCATTCTTAAAGTTCAGGGGATTCTGACCTTGACACTTACTATGTCTGGGTTTTCTTTAATTTGATCCTTGATAAACTTGGCTCGTTACAGGTTTTAAGCCAAACGTTCATATACCTGTGAGATCCATGTCTATTAAGCCTCAGAAATACTCACTTTACTGCGTGGATGAAGAACGTACAACGCCTTTAAGAAAGTGGTAAAAAATAACCTACATTCTCTTTGGGATTACACTTTCTAAGTAGTACATATTCCAGTACCTGTTTGGTTTGAGACCCATCTGCACTCTGAGAGTGGTTCGAATTCCAAGTTGGACCCAACATAAAATAGTATTAGAATCTGACCTTCCCTAGAAAAAGAGTTATCCCAAATATGAGCTACGTGCACGTGAATATGATGTATATGGAATTATGCTTGCGTATGTATTTTACTGCAAAGCAACTTCGCATTTTCGTAAGTGACTTCAGTTTGATACCTCTCCGAGCTGATAGAATTGCGCCCGCTTATACAAATGGGAGTAGTCCTGTCAGCCTGCCTAATGCAGATAGCTTCCCCACTGACTGTCCTTTCTCAAAAGCTGCGTGGTGAGGACTGACTGTAGGTAGCTAAGGCGTCTTTGGAGGACTTGAATTCACATGCAGGACTGCATGCAGTGACGACATGATCCCAAACCCTCAAACCCCTGTCCCATCCAGTCCAGCACCCACACCCATACATGCACCCTACTGAACTTTGTAATATATTCTTTTGTATAAATAACTCAATACATCAATCCATCCATTAGTTTTGTTTCGTTCATGTATTTCAGACCGTGCGTATTTTAAAGATTTGGTGTAATCGCCTGGTGGTTGTAAGGAAAACATACCAAGGTTTATCTGCACTATCATGCTGATGACATGTCATCACTGGGTACAGAAACAGTTGATTACACGGGTATTTATATTCATTCCGATTACAATACAGGTTATGGATATTTAACATTTCTGATAAATTCGGATTAAGAGGATTCCAAATTAACTTTGAACACGTTATGTTACACATAAGTGTATGACGTAATCGGCGGATTAAAATATTTAGATAATAGTTTCACGAGTTTGTTACACATGTTAAGCTTTTCAAAACTGAAAAGGGCAACGTCAGTAATTCTCTACGTGCCACATATTCTCGTGAAAAATAGAAATAAGTGAGTCAGTGAATGTGATTTGTTCAATGCCTGCTGGGAAAATGGCATGGAAGTCATGATGTCTGAACATAATACACGTATTCTTATAAAACGTTGTATTTGCATCTCCTATTTCAATTAAGCCAGTGCATTCTAACTATTTCAACACCACACTTATCTTTACAGAGGCCTGCACAAAATGCCTGGCAGTAGGAAAATTGTACAAGTCTCACTCAAACTGCCGTAACATCATTCTTCTTCATACAACCCGGTCTATTATTTGTGCTGGAAAGAAGTCGAGGGAGCTCTTAGAAAAGAAAAAGAGAACTCTTGACAGACTCGGGAAGATAGTCTCAGCTTGGAGGAACAGCGGAGGAGGCCAAGTTCTGATTCATGTAGAGGGTCAACTATCCGAGGACAGGTGTCTGGAACAGTTTGATGAGTTCATTACCAAGAGTTTGTCTGATCTCATTGATGATGGAGAACTATATGTAGACGCATACAGGCGCCAATGGTTATCTGAAATACAGAACTTTCAAAACCATACTGACTTCGTTTTTGTGAACGTGAAGGAAACGAGTGGGATAGCCACTCTGGATTTTAACACAAAAGTAAGGAACGACATAGAAAATGTATCAGCAACGTCTGTCAATCTAGCTAAATGCATGCTCAACAGGCGGAACAACACAGGTCCCCCAACGTCGAAAGGATTGTGTGAAAATATTCAACTACTCCATGAGTGCCGGAATACTGAACTAAAAAGGTTACATGTTGACAAATTGAAGAGTCAAGTTGCAACGAACATTTTAAGAAGCCCGTCAGATTTCGTGGATTATTTATGGCATGATCTCAAATTGAAAGATAACCTGACCTCTATGTCCAAGATTGAAGGAGGAGGATCATACTATGTTGGGATAAGTGAGGATACCCTTGACATTGAAAGTTACAGAACCAAATTTCTTAATATTGACGGGTTTTGCATCAAATTTGAAGAATCTGAGATCACCACAGCCATTAAATCCAAACTTCAAAGTGACACAATAGCCGTACAAAAAGGAACTTTCTGTAGAGTTAATGACGATTTGATTGAAGTCAGGCTACATCCAATATCTGGAACAGAGAAACGTGTTCTGGAGGTAGCTGTGCGTTGCTTTGATGGTATCATCTTTAGTGACAAGGAAGGGCCAAGGACTTATGAAGTGAAGGACAAAAATATTCATCGGATGGACAAAGCCACCTGGCTAGAGCGATTCAAAGCCATGCAGAAATAGTTTAATAGACATTCATCATGGAAGGGGAGTTTGAGCTTGGTGAAAGAACTAGCGATAGTGGCGAGAGTGATGACTCCAGTGTGCCTAGCAGATACAGCTCAGAAGGAGACGTTCCATTACTGACTGATGACGTTTTCTCTGATTCGGATGATCCTGTAAAAGGAGCACAGACTTCCGGTAAGGTATTGAAATTATGCAGTTCGATACATGATGTCTCCAGCCGGATACACCCTGAATATAAATCATTTGCTTTGCTTGTTTCAGGCGATACTCTCCAGTCAGACACTGTCTCTACATCAGAACAAAGGGAGGTTGTTGGGATACTATCAGCTGAATCAGAACAGTCGTGTATGTATTTGTAGTATTTGTTGATGATGTGAAGCATAGTGTTTTCTACAGTTAATAATGGTGGCCTTTTTCGTCATATTTTGTAACATGCAAAAATTGTGTCTCAGTATTATGCATGAAGTCACCAATTATTTTGACAGAACATGTTTCAGCTGCAACTCATCCAAACATTGTTGTCTGTGTGAAGATGTGTGATTAAGTATAAGACATAAATGAGTGTTGATATGAATGTATTGTTTCTTTACATATAATCTTAAGATGAGTGGTTATCTCATTTTAGTATTTTTATGTGGTGACTGTTGCAGACTTCGGCATCTTCCCATCCATTGTTGAAGAAGCTCTCACGAAACAGCATGCCCACATTGTACAGAGGCTGAGAGAGCTACCAGGCAGAAATCGTACAGTCGTCATCTCAGGAGGTAGCCTGCTGAAGTTGATAGACCCATCCTGGGAGGGCCGAGTACCTGCGTCTGCCCTGTGTGATGCGTGTGTGTTCTCCCCGACACGCCCTGTCATGGTGCTGACTTTCACAACTGGGGATGAGGACAACCACAAGAACATTCAATACAACACCAAGTTGGCGACGTTGATCGTACAACATGTGAAGGTGGACACGAAGTTTGATTTCAATATCATTCATGACACTGTCAACGCATCTTTGTGTAAGGAGAGACAAGATTTCCTGACGAAGATCGAGCAATTTGAGAATTCAGCCAAATGCATCTGTTTCCCCCCCGAACTACATATGGACGAAGACAAATGTAGAACCATCATAAAGACCTTCCTGAAATACCTGTCTGATGGCACTGAGTCAGTCAGACTTTCACCATCTATGGAGGATAAAGTACATGGGAAGACCATTTCCGAGCAAGATGTATGTATAAATTTGTATTAATATTTTATTACACCTTAATAGAGGCATTGTTTGAAATTAGAAATAGAAATGTTTCCTTATTGTCCTTTGTTATCTTGAAATGAACAAGGCCTGGTGGAATAGGAATATATATGCTTATAGGAATCATTACATTCCAGTTGATATTGGCATGTCAATGAGATGAAATCCGTATGTGTATTGACATCAAGTTATTTGTTTCGATGATCTTTACATGATGCACGAGTACGTTTCACTTAACCTGATGTCCTTTCCTCTGGCAATTTTTCGCTGCTTTTGTATGGTGATATTTTGCAGTATTGTTTTCGATAAAAGGCATATTGGTGACAACATAGCAACTTTGTATATGTTCCCTATTTCGTTGTTTTTTATCTTGTCTCGCAGGCACATGTTGTGGCTCTCATTACACTTTTTCACTATAGTTTTTAGAACGTGGTTGGACCAGTGGCTCATATTTTAGGCAAAATATATGTCTTGGTATCCTGGGTAGCATGTAGACACTGAGTTTGTGTTTGGGTGAACGGTTCCTTATGTGGAGGGAACATTTAAATTGTGATCCTTATGTCAGTACCCCCTTGCATATATTTCCTTTGTTACAGATTGTGTTCTAAGGGGATGTCTTTTGTTCAAAGGACAAATGTCCGAGAAAGACTCTAATCTTCAGTGTCGCCCTGGTTTAGCTGGTTTAGAACAGAATTTTACATGTTATAAATACGTGCTGATAAAGCATGAGAAACAACTTATTCATTGAAAGTAGATGGCTGGTATGACCAATACTCCCGTCGACTTTGACTCCACTACCTCCGGTTTTTGCCCCTCAGGAGGCCTTGAATGAAGAACCTATCTGACATTCATACTGCTCTTCTGGGATCATCTCCTCCAATGTCAACTTATTAATTTCGCGTGATCTAGTGCAGGTCTCACAAGTCCCTTATGCCAGGATGGTCTGTAAATAATCGAGACCGGACCAGACATAAAAGTTATCAACCGCATGAGCATTGATCTAAGCAACTGGGATACGATGATCTGTGTCAACCAAGCCAGCAAGCCTGACCACATGATCCCGATAGTTGCCTCTTACGACAAGCACAGGTTGCTGAAGACCAATTCTAACCGGATCTTCGCGGGTCTCATCTGTAAGACATACCTCCCTCCACTCCAGTGAACTGAAGCACTGTCACCTTCTGTCGCTTGACGTGCGCCAGTCTGTGAACATGCCTCCTATGCTGGACCACTCACCTGCTCAAATCCTTGGATTCCTTGGATGACTTGCCATTTGATGCCAGGTGCTTCTTGTCCACGGTTACAGGGAGTTTCTTCACTCCATCAGCACCAACCTGCATTGCATTGTACTGATCCTTACCACACTGATGATGACGGCGATTTTGTTCCTGTTTTCATGAATCAAAAGTACATTGACTCCAGCAGACATACCCACATGGCTTGTGGACCACCTGCCATATGCTTTGCTATGACGAGATGCTCCCTGATTTGTGGAAGATGGCCTTGCTCAATCAGTCGTCATGCTGTCCCTCATCTGAGAGCTAAATGTTTACTGTTTGGGATTCCCTCTCTGAAATAATGATGCTTCTTTCACCAGTAGTCTCTCAGAGAAAGACCTATGCGGGTATGCATCCAATGCATTGTAGACAATTCCCTTTCTTTCAGCAACGCCAGCCTCTTACGCACGACAAACCAGCAAGAATCACCATACATTTTCACTGGCGGTAGACGTAGACGGCAGTGACTTTTATTTATTTTTATATATTTTTTTATTATACTCATTCACCTCAGCAGATTCCCGATCTTCCAGCCAATATAGATGCCAAGGATGTCAAGGAAGTTCTGTATGCACAGATCATGTCAGGCTGGTTTGCTGGTTGGCTGATTAACGCCAAACTCAGTAACATTCTAGCTACATGGCGGCGATCTGTAAATAATCGAGTCTGGACCATACAAAAGAGTAATCAGCAGCATGAGCATTGATCTAGGTAGCTGGGATGTGATGACACGTGCCAACCTAGTCAGAGAACCTGACCACCCGATCCCATAGTCGCCTCTTAACACAAGCCTGGGTTCCTGAAAGCCAATTCTAACCCGGATCTTCACGGATCCATGTTCAGGCGTTCAAGTTCAAGATGAGATGCATATGAATAAGAACATGATGCTTTTCAACCCCCAGTCTGTCAGTTGTCCTCCACATTTTCGTGTGCTCTCAATCAACGTCAGCCTGCAGGATTCCTACTTCCATGTAGCTACACATGTTGCTCATTCATTTTTCAGGGTCAGCGGTTCCAATGAAAGGTGCCCCAGTTGGGATTTCGCTGGTCCCCTCAATGACGCGGACGTTTTTCCTTACCCTGTTTTGCTGCTCCGGGGAATTTACAACATGTGCAGGCATGTAGTGCTTTTGGTCTCGGCCTATTGGAGACCTTGATTCACAGCCTCATTCAGTTCACTGGAGAACCTGCCTTCTGTGTACCCGACTGGGGATATTTGATGCTTACCTCACCGCTCGCGCCATGTTTGATGACATGTGGTGTTCTTTTCACACCATTCGCTGGTCAAATCACATATATCCAGTGATGGCCACTGTTCCACAAGTGAAGGATTTCCAGTTATTTCTGAGTACAAGTTTGGGCCCCAACAGCAAGGGGACCTAAGTATAATTTTATGTGACTTAGGTCAAAACCTTCCTTGTACCAATTGATTGGTCCCTTGTATGGTGATCTATCTTCAGCTGGCCATCTTTGGCCCATTTTTACATTGTATTGTCCAAAAATAGTTTTTTTTCTTTTTAAAGGGATATGTTGGCTAGTTTTAACTCATTTTGTGATAATCTAGTGATTTTACTATCCTTCGTTGACAGGGTTTTACATATTATATGTATGTATTATGAATTTAGAACTAGTTTTATCACGATACGGGTGAAATATTGCCGATGTGACTTTAAATCTTAACTCTTTCACTGAAATCTGCATTTCATGACGACCTCACTTACAAGACTTCCTTTCAACTGTCTCTCGCCATGGCAACCATGTGAACCACTCCATGTGAACACCTCCAGGGTTGGTCAGGGAGGTCAATAATTATCTTCGAACGCCATAAGCTCACCGTATCTCTGATACACTCTGGATGGAAACTTGCCTTTCTTTTGTTGAGTGTTGTTGATCTTTATCTTCAGGGGGCGGTGGGGTAGTCTAGTGGTTAAAGCGTTGGCTCGTCACCATTACCGTGGCTAATTATCACTGGAGTTGTCACGGAATTTGATAAGACTCCAAGTAGGTAAACACACATAATATTCAATGCGTGATAAATGTTACATTCAAATGAACTTTATTACCACACACATGTTGTTTATGTACAATCAGAATTAGCTATATTCAACATAGTGAAATACTGTTGTTCGTCATTCCAACTATGTGGTCTCTGTTATCATCATTTCAACAGTCGGGGACCCAGCTTGATGAATTACAACAACAGTTACGTGCTCTGGATGAGGACCATCAACAAGTGATCAGTGAAGTCAACCAGCATCATGAAGAGAAACTATCAAAACTGATGTATCTGCATGCTCAGAGAAAGGAGAAACTGGAGAAGGAAATCGAAGAATTAATTCAGAAGCTTCGCCATGCTAAAAAAGATGAAACATCGGGTATGTAGGAATAGGTTTTTTGAAGGAGGAAATCTTTGGTTAAGAACCCTCCAGCTTCTGACGATTTTAATTATATATACAAATGGAAAAGGGTTCGCAATACCTGTGACTGTTATCCCCTGTGAAGTCTTTTATTATACAATTATAGACTCTTTTAGAGGTCGATATCGGTTTTTATTGACCTGAGTAAAACAATATCGACCAAGCTTGCAAGGTCGATATTGTTTTACTCAGGTCAATAAAAAGCGATATTGATCTCTTATAGAGTCTATAATTGTTTTATTATATAGACGAAGAGAAACAGGTTTTAACACAAAGTTTTAATGCACACACTGTGTCATCTCCGGGATACAGCTCATCATTACGTAACACATCTTCACAATCAAAATAATTCATTAAATGTACCAGAAACATCAAAGACAACTTTTAAATAACAAATCTTTAAAGAGACGCTATCAGTCTTAATATATCGATGATTGTTCATCTAGCTACTTTATTACTGCTTATAGTTGAAGTTATCATTGATGGTCACATTACAGTTATTAATAACTGGTCCTGGCATCTGAATCTATTTGTCTATGCTATTTGTCATGCTGTGATTAAGTACATGCATATTGTCATCAGACACAGAAACAGATGACTCAGGTACAGGGAGAGTTTTGAGGATTTCATCAAACTCACAGTCAGTCAAAAAACTTGTTAGGTCATGATCACCGAGGATAGGCAAAGAGTTCTCCTTCTCCCTAGTAGGTTGAGCACAGGTCATATCACTGATGGCGGTGGACATCATCTTCTTGGTCTTGTCATCAGTGAAACCAGTGTAAGTTTTCAGACTGGTTTCTGCTTTATGTCCTGTGACTGTCATAATATGCCGCGATGGCACCTGTGCAGAATCCAATACATGGACTGTTGTAGCTCACAGGGAGTGGTTTGTAAATTTTTGTGAAAGACCTGCCTTTGTGCCAAGCGTCGTCATCATAGTACCAAGCCGGCTGTGTCCAAGGGGAACCGCATGCTATAAATTTCCATTTTCAATTTCTGAATTTGGTTGCTGGAAAAGTTTTGGACAATCTTTATTCAAACGATGAAAGTCCTCACTGGACATCTAGGATCGTCTGTAAGATATAAACACAAAAAATAATAATAATAAATGATAAAAGTGATCATACATATACTTCATTCGAACTCGGGACGTAAGGTTAGCTAAAATTATGCTGCAAACAATTTGATAGCAAGAGTTGCCTCCCTTTCCGTTACAAAGCAAAATGGGTGACAGGTCATGGTTTCCGGTTACGTATCTTTCCAGTGTGTCGATATAATGTACAGTAAGCCTAATATTTGGAATTGAATGTCACTATTTGATAACATAACAACATACCTTTCTTCTCATACATTCGCCCTTGAGCCCGACCGCCGTCCTCCTGACCATTTTTGGTTTGTTCATCTCGGGTCATGTAAACATGCATGTCCCCATCAGCGTCCGTGGTTACGGCCAGATCGCTTATTCTCAAAACGTCTTCCGAAATGAAGCATGATGTCAACGAATACCAACGAAACATGCCTATCTTATTTTGGAAATCTGTAAATTGATATTCAATATTTTATTTGTATCGATGTTTATTCATGAATCTATTGTCTAGATCTATTTGCCTTGATGATTTTACGAAACTCAGTGTGTGTGTTAAAAACTAGTTTTATATATTCACCTTATACTGTAGAAGTAGTGGGGAATCTGAGCTGCACACGTAGCCATATCAGCTTCTGCAACAGGTGGGTAGTGTTTGATCTCAGCGCAACCGATTCTTTTTAGTTCCTTTCCCATAGCCTTGAACGCTGTCGTGGATTCTTTGAAATTGGCGCCCCTGATGATATCTATTCCTCTTCTTGTTTTTCCAAGAGTCTTTGGATGCCATGTCGATAAGACATTAAAGTTACTTTCTTGTAGTGTTCTCCTTTCTCTGACCTGGCTTCCAGGTAAAAATTTAGCCAGTGATGAATCAGAAGTTCATCTTCGGTAAAGTTCTCAAAATCAGCTGATTTACCCTTTGTTGTAGATATTATCTGAAAACCTTCACAGCAGTGTTAGTTGACCTTTTAGTGTTCTTTGGGATCGATATTTTCCAAGATCTCCTTCTGTTTTGTCATCTGTAATATCAGCAAAACGCCATTTCTATTGACGAACGCTGAAACCATCGCTGAACGGCTAAAGATAGCGCGTGAGGGAATGACGTCAAACCGAGCGATCTGATTGGTTGAAAAGCAGGGGAAGCCCCTTTGTACGGGATTCCTCGTCTATTTTTAGTAACTCAGGTCAATATCGTAATTTATCAGAAAACTCAAGTCAATATCGCGTTTTGTAGACAATCACCTGACGGTATTTTGACCAATCGTGATACAGGAAAAATACTACCTATATAATAAAATCATTTCATAATTATGTTAGTTTATATACATGTTTTGACCCTTCAGTGGCACCATGCATTGAGTTAGTTTCCTAACAATTTCCCATACCCCACACATTCAAGCTGGAAACATGAATGAATATTGGCAAACTATTTCCATTGGTGATAGAAGCTACTTTTCCTGATTGATATGCATATGCCGAAAACAATACCACTTAAAGCGTCCATAAACAATATCAACATAGCTTACTTAGTGACAAGAGTTAATTGTCAAGATACGTTTTCTTTTATTTACAGAACTCCATCAGTTGAACCTTTTTGCCAGAACGCCAAGCAAGTAAGGCAACACTTTACTTACTATGTATTACTACAGGCCATTAATTTAATAAGGTTGTCCAATTTTTTTTCAAGTCAAAGTCTTTTATTGTCTATAGGCCACAGGCCGTATACAACATATATACAATTTTCACTTACATTTACACATGTATACAATAACAAAGGTTGAGTTTACAACAAATATATATGATGTCATAGTACATGGGGAAATCCTACAAAAATATATCTTACTGAATTGGGGGGTATTTTGATGCATGGTATAAATATGTGCATAATTTTCTAGAAGTGTTTCGTTATTAGTAGTTTTTTGTTTTTGGGTTTTTGGGGTGTTTTTTCCATCATAAGTTGTATATAATGTCATATCTGATATATCATAAGTATATAGTATTACATCCCATATGTCAAATTGTAAATAGCATCATATATGAACATATCATATTGTTTATAGCACCACATCTGACATATCAAGCTGTATATTGTGTCACATTCAACATATTTTGTTGTATACGGCGCCATATCTGACATACCATCTGACATATCATACTGTATATAGTGCAACACCCGACATAGCATATTGTAGTGTCACGGCCACTCTATCGTGTTGTACATCTATCGTGTTGTACATAATGTATTATCTGATATACATTGTAAATATGTCTTATCTAACATGTGTTGTATATAGTGCCACAATTATTCTGACATGTCATGCTGTGTCTTGTGTCACATCCAATGTGTTGTGTTATATATTGCGCAACATCCGGCTTATTGTGTTGTATATTGTGTCTTATATCCAACCTATAATATGTGTTCCCCAAAGTTACACCAGTGCCATTAACTAACTAGTCAATACATAACTAAAACAATGATAATTTTTCAAAAGGGGAAACAGATCAAGATTTTACAAAAGAAGCGATTGCTGCATACACAGGTCAGGTTTGAAATACTGGGAATAATGGATGCCATTTATTAGCAAATTTCTTCATTTTATTCTTCCTTTGGCAATGAAGCTTTCAACAGAAAAAAATATCTTTTAAAGTCTTTATAAAGTTATCGCATTTTGGAATATTGTTTTTCAAAGAAGAGACATAGATCTGTCTTTTGCTGAAATGATTATATGATTAAGTAATGGGTTTTACTTAAGGAGCCAAAATACACCAAATATTTTGTCAAATTGACTTTTGTATCAAATAAGTGTTAATCCAAATTTGAAGATCCTTCCAAAACTTCTTAGTTTCACTACATTCCCAGTAAACATGGCACAAGTTTTCATCTTCATCTTTACAAAAGCTGCATGAGGCGCTCTGGATAAGGTTCATTTTTAAAAGTTCCTTTTTGGTATAGATAATACCGTGTAAAATTTATATTGAAACTCTAAGAGTTTTACATCATTAATGTCTTGTCTGTAAGACTTGAAAATCATTGGCCAATCAAAGTCAGTATCTTCAAACACATTCTCCCATTTATGACACATATGAGGGTTATTATTGTTAAATAACAATATATCATAAAATAATCTTGATCCTTGTAATGATTTCATAAAATTCTTTTGATAGGAGTTAAGATTCATGTCATAGTTATTTATACACCTGTGATTTGTTATTGTATTTTTCCATGATTCAGGTATATTATTTAGAACATATCTATGATCTAATTCTGTCCCTTTTATTGCATATTTACTTTTAAAGATTCAAAAGACATCAAACCTTCTTCATCACACATGTCTTTGATGGTTAATAGTCCTTTATTTGCCCAATGACTGATATAATGATTTTGGTATTTAAAATTATGATTAAACCATAATGGCTGTGCTAAAATTTCATCAATGTTGTTTTCCTCTATGGTAATGTTAGTACAATACATGTTCCATGCTTTTAAAACATCTTTCCAATATGGATTATGAATATCAGCAATATAATAGAAGTTAGCACCAAATTTCATGATATCATGTAATGGAAAATTGCATGGATTACATATTGATGATTTTCTTAAATAAAGTCTCAAAGTGGATAGTTTCAAGGCATTGATAAAGGTTTTTATGTCGATCATTCTTAAACCCCCATGTATATAATCTTTTTCAAGGTACTTCTCTTAATTTTGTCAGTTTTGTCAGTCCAGATGAATTTGAAAAATATTTTATCAAGGGAGGTAACAAAATCTTGGGGTGGGTTTGGTAAAGTACTGAAAATATGAACTAATTTTGACATAGCTAGTGTCTTGATAACAGTGATTTTGCCGATTAATGTTAAATGTCTTTTTTCTCCACACTGCCAATAATCTGTTAATTTCCTCTAGTTTTTCTTTGTATTGATGATCCATAGATCCTTCAGTTCAGCATTAAGTATAATTCCCAGAACAACAAATTCATTTTTTCGCCATTCAATATTCAAATCCTGACATAGTTTATCACCACAACCTGCTTTAGATCCAATCCAGATAGCTTTAGTCTTATCAATATTTATTTTTAGTCCTGACATCCTATAGAAAGTATTAATTGCATCAACAGCAGAATATAGACATTTTTCTGTACCATCTAAAAACAACTCAGTATCATCTGCATATTGTCCTAATTTATACTCTGTATCATCAATTACTATACCTTTGATATTTTCATTTTGTCTTATCATGCATCCAAGGATTTCAGCTACAAAAAGGAAAAGATATGGTGATAACGGATCCCCTTGTCTACAGCCCCGTTCATTTGAAAAGAATTCTGAGAGATGTCCATTTTGAATAACACAAGAAGTTGTATTATAGGTTAGGATATTTATCCACCTAATAATTTGGGGACCAAACCCAAACTTTTTTAATACCAAATTTATAAAATCTTTAGAGACAGTATCAAAAGCCTTTTCAAAATCGATCAAAATTAATAAACCTGGGATGTCTCTTCTTTTTGTCTCAAACATAATGTCATAGAGTAATCTTGTGTTTTCACTTATATTTCTACCAGGTATAAAACCAGTCTGATTTTCATGTATAAGAGAGTACAGGGTTGTTTTTAACCGATTAGAAATACAAGTACTTACTATTTTATACAGTGAATTCAATAAAGTTATTGGTCTCCAGTTTTTTAAAAGGGTTCTGTTTTTATCTGGCTTGGGTATACATGTAATAACACCTCTTTTCATTGTGAAAGACATTTGATTCTTATTAAAAATTTCTTTAATAAATCTATAGATCCAATATTTAAGGTCTTTCCAAAAATATTTAAAGAAATCTATTGGAAATCCATCTACACCAGGGCTTTTGTTATTTTTCATATGTTTAACAGCCAATGTTATTTCTTCCATGTCAATATCTTTTTCTAATTTGTTTCTAAGATGGCCAGTTAAAGTGGGAGTTACCACATCTTGTAAACAAGTTTCATCCTCATATTTCCTGCCAGAAGAATAAAGTTGTTTGTAAAATGTTTTTACTTCATTTAAGATAGAAAAGCTGTCAGTAATTTCGTCATTGTTATCCGTGACAATCTTATTAATTGATTTGCTGACATAATTTCTATTTTCTAGGTTGCAAAAATACTTGGTTGGCTTTTCCCCCTCTTCATACCATAAAATTCTGTTTCTGAGCTGTATACCCCTTATTTCATCTTCTTTAATTTGTTGTAGTTCAAATTTATATTTTGCAAGTTCAGATAATAAATTTTCATCTATAGTTTGAAAGTCCTTTCTTATTGATTCTTCATAGTCTTTAATTTTAGTTTCTAATTCTGTGGTTTTATCAATGGTTTTCCTTTTTAGAAAGGTTGAAAATGAAATTGATTTTCCCCTAACATTCATAAGGAAGGTTTCTAAAAATAAACTATCATCAATCTTAAGTTTTATATTAAGGTCATTAGCATTTTCATCATATACATCAATATCTGAATATTCTTCAACTGTGTCCTTTAATATGGATCTAACAAGTTCACTATACTCAGGTTGTAACAATAAAGACGTATTAAATTTCCAATATCCCCGCCCTCTTTCTTGGTTAATAGTATTTGAAAAAGAGTAGGTAATAGCTGAGTGGTCCGTTTTATAGCCTGGTAGAATATCGGAATCAAGCGTAAGGTTCAGCAAATCTTGTGAGATTAAAAAAAAATCCAGTCTGGCTTGTTGTCTTGGATGTTTTTTCCACCATGTAAATTTTTCAGATTATCATTCGAATCACGCCAAATATCCACAAGATCATAAGCTGCAATTGTGTCTAAAACTACTTTTCTGGCCTTGGGATTGTTGATATTTTTGTAATTTTCTAAATCAATGGAAGGATCAAGAACCAGATTCCAATCTCCTACCATAACCAGAGATTCATTCTCAAAATTGGATAAACTTTCGAAAAGCTTTACATAAAATAGTGGGTCATCAATATTTGGTCCATAAAGGTTTGTGAGGGTAAATCTTTTATCTTCTACAGTTATGTCTGCAATAATAAAATTTCCACCTTCATCTTCCAGAGTTTTATGTATAGTGAGATCAATATTATTATTGAAAAGTATTGCAACACCTCTTGAATTGGACTTGAAAGGTGCAATTATACTCTGCAATCCCCATTCATTTCTCATTTTATTAACATCTTCTTTGGCTATATGGATATCTTGTAAGCAAATTATTGAGTATGATTTCTTTCTATAGAGATTCATAACTTCTTTCCTTTTATTTTTATTTGCCAGACCCCTACAGTTAGCAGAAATCATCCTTATTTTTTTTATATTATCCATCTGATAACCATGTTAGAATCAAAGTATTTTTAAGTATTGAGATATTATTGAAATCTCTAGGATTACGCCTGAGGTTTGTAACATGATATATGCATATATGCTGTATTTCAAGACATGTTAGATCATTTGATATAAATGGTTGAGAACAATATCTTAATATTTGGAAGACTACTAAAAATATGATGTAGTAAACATAAGCACTGAGAGCTGTTGAAAAGGAAGATCTGAAAGAAGCTGTACTTGATTCTAGAAAAAAAGATGATATAAAAGAAACTATGTACAAACATAAAAACAAAGAAAGAGGCATTTGTGCTATATCCTCTCAACCCGTGAACGTGAATATAGTCTGAACTGCATCGAATGTGTCTACCAAACACGACATAAACATAACCTTGACCTTAAAGGTCGAGGTCGGAATTAATATATCACTTAAATCAGTTCCGTTTACCTGAAGTCTACTGGAAATTACGAAATTTTGATTTAATAACAAATTCAAAAGTTATAAATCCTCTAATAAAGGATCAATGGTTATTCGTGACATAGTCATGTATAAACTGTATAACCTATCATCTTAAAACAGAAAATGTAACATAACTCACGTGAGAAACTGTAAACAAGATTCAACTTCCGGTCTAGTAGTTCCGAAGTGAATAACATTACTAAAAATAGAAAAGCACGTGGCAATGTTTATAAACAAAGAGTTACGAGAGTTCAGTTGTTCATAAATGGTAGTTTTACTACTGATCTGAGTACTTACTTACTCATAGACACATTTGAGCAGAGTCTTAGAAATGTCCATTAAAGTGTGTGATCCGTCCAAACAGTGCTGCACAAATTTGAAGAGAGAAAAGGTAAACAAAAACGTCATAGTTAGCTCCATGCATTTTGATGTTGTGGTGTTCGTATTACGGTGTTTGATCAACGTCGATTGTTCTCCATTCGTCTCGTGAACTTTTTCTGGTTTGAAGGCTGATATCTATTCCTCTCTCCAGAATTCGAGTTTGCACATTGTATTTTTTTCTGAGCTCAAACGCTCGGTTAGCCAGGCGACCTCTTTGTTTCTTCAGGGGCACTGGGAGGTCAGTGCGGACTGTAACTTTCTTCTCCTTTAGAGACGCCCATCCTTTGATTGACGCATTGAATATTCTTTGTTTGTCCTCTGCCTTGACGAATTTCACTATGATGGGTTTTGGCACTGATGCTCGATAATTGGTTGGATCGGTACTTTTTCGGGGAAGTCTATGCACATTTACAAACTGTATCTCACTCGCATCCTTGAGGCCTAATAATGTAATTACCTCTCTCACAAGTACCAAGTTGTCCGAATGCCTTTCGTTCTTGAAGTCTTAGGTTTGGCGTACTTGCTGTCGGTAACACAGACGTTCTGCCACTCTGAGTAATGCAGAATGTTGCATTGCTTAGAAGGCTTCCCATTCTCAGAAAAGTAACATCAGGCAGCGCTTCATGAGAAAAGCTCCATTCGCTGTCTGTGTTGTGTGTGGAGTGGCTAAACCCTATTTGCTGATATTTTTTTTCTAAACTGTGAATATCATGTATGACACCAAGGTGGCCGTGTCATCTCATCATTTCGGCTGCCCATTTACTGCTGGGTGACTACAGGAACTTTGTGCTCCTGAGCTACGTGAATGTGCGTGTGTGCACTAGCTCTGACTCTGAGTGTGTGGGTTCGAATCCCGGATAAGACTCAGCCCAACAAAGTACTAGAATCTGTACTTTACCATGAAAGTGTAATCCCAAATATAACATGTCTGCAATGCCGAGACTGAAAATATCCTCCATTTGTTATTTGAAAGTACATATGTAAAATTATTGTGGCACAATGTGATGAATTGGACAGAGAATAGAACTTAACTTGTATTGCAACAAAACATTACGTGTGTGGAAAAAAGATTAAATTCCCTCCCATATAATAAAATACCTCCCGGATTAATAACATATGCTAAAATATGACTTATACAAGAAATGTATGGACATTATGCCACAGCCTTTTAACACAACTTTGTTATATTGCACGTGCCTATTATGCACGTATTTACTTTTCAAATCTGTGTCCATGAAAAATAAAACATAGCGATAGAAATTAAAGTATTTCTATTTGTCAGTGGGTCATTTATGTTGATTTTGTGTCCCATGACGAAAACTGTCATTGGAAAAAATAACCAATTGGATTGAATGAACATTATGTATTAGAAGGATGGATGGCTTCCACGGTACTTACAATGGTTTACGCAAGTAAACAAAGCAAACGTATTTAATTTATAAAAGAGAAAATTGGAAAAGATTCACATGGGGATCAAATGTCAGTTTCACAGTATAAATCATAGAGTTTGAAATGCGTTATCGAGTTCAGTGTACACTCCAGGATGCCATTGTGGTCAGTATCTTCAATGTTCTCCTTGAGACTTCATGCACCCATAAACACGACGTCTCACTGACGTTGTGAGACGACTGATGACGTCATTGGGAATGTTCTGCCATTCTTGTGACAACGGTCTTCATGAAGGGTCGTGACCTTTGGTCTGCCAGTTCACGATCTATCCAAGGTCGTGTCTGGCTGTTGAAACCTTCCATTAATCTGTTCATAGTTTTACGGTGGCATCCATACGTCCTTACAACGTTGATCATGTCTATTGTTCGCGGCTTAACCTGGGCATTTTAAATGTGTTTTCCTGTTTCTCAATGTGAATTTTGTGCATTTGGATACGGAAAAGCATTTGAGTTTTATTCACAAAGTGCACGAAATTCTCAATTGTTTTCAACTTTATATTTGACCCATATTTTGGATGCTTTAGGTGCATAGAAAACATTCAGTTTCCTTTGTGGAATCACTTCCCCCAAAACAATAATTTCAAAATTTTAATGGGACAGTTTCTTTTGGCATTTACTTCAGTTGTAAGAATAAGAGAGGCAACAAATGTAGTGTCTAAACAAAACAAAAATGATTTCAAGGCATGTAAATCAAAATATTACTGTATTTACGCTTGTCAATTTACACAAGGATCCAGATTTTGTTTTACTAATGTCCTTCAAGGAAAATATTACATTCCTGGGGATCGTGTTTGACATTCTCCCCTAAAATCAAATATATGAATGCATGCAAAGTGGCTGAAGCCTCTCGGTTTACTTAATTCTGCCAATCACACATCTTCTCAACTTACTTATAGAAACAGCCAGGGATAATTTGGTTATTTAGTGTATGTTACAGGTACATACTTCAAGTAGCTTATTTAAGGTTTCTGTCTTCCAGAATGGACACCTTCCCCAAATGTTCTGTCTGTCAGCAGCAGTTTACCCTGAAAGGCCCCGCCCCCTACCTACTGCCCTGTCTACACGCTGTGTGTGAGACGTGTGTGACATCTGCAGCGGGTGGTGTGATATCATGCTCTACATGTCAGAGGGAAGTCAACCTCACAGATACAAGCCTCCAGAAGGATGCAGTGAGACAGAAGGAAATATTCCACCTGACAGCCAAACATCACCCTACAGAGGTCTCCTGTTCAAATAATGACGGCAACCAGGCTGTGTGCTGGTGTCGGGACTGTCAAGAGCTACTTTGTGAATATTGCCAGAATATGCACAGCAGCCTAAACGTTTTCAGAAACCATGTACTTCAAAACTTCAGTGACATGGTACCGACTGTCTCGAACATTCCGACATCTTGCAGCATCCATAAATACAACTCCCTGGATCTCTTTGATAAAAGCTGCCAGAAGTTGATATGTGCGAGATGTAAAATCCATGATCACGCAGACCATGATGTTGAGGAGTTGGATGTAGCTGCTGATGCTGTAACGAAACAGTTCCACTACCAAAAGAATGAGCTATTAAAGTTGCAGATTCATCAGAATCAGAGCATCGGAGAAGAAATCAAATACACTGACAGAACACACGACACTTTGAAAGAAAATATTGGCCACACATTCCAGACTCTGCGATTGCTTCTTGATCAACGAGAGAGTGAACTTTTGACCTGTCTAGAAACTCATACAAAGGAGACCGAGGCAACACAACAGGCACTCCCCACCACAACTGAAGAAGATTGGGAGACATGCAGAGATGTTTCAGACTACATCGACAAAGTCCTTCTCTATGCCCCCAAATTACACATGCTGGAGCTGGAGAGTCGTGTAGGGGACATAGCTCGGAGCTGCCTCAAAGATGTTGGCTCTCAATCACCTGCTGTAACGTCAGTTTTCCTCAACACAAACAGATTGTCAGAGCTGAAATCAAATATATCGGTATTTGGTGCCATTACCACAAATGAGGGGGACGCTGAACCTTTTAGAGGTATTCAAATTGACCATAATTATAAGTTAATTATTCTTAGTGTGTATTTTGTATGTGTGACATTCTTGTTATGCTTAATTTTGCATTATTTACACCTCTTTTGTATCCGTGTTTCTATAATTTAAGATCCATTATGTCTGTTGATAACATTGTTTTACGTGTTGTAAAATTCATAAAACATTATCCCGGCATTTCAGACCTATGACGTAAATGTGTTTAATCATATATAATTCTCCTGTTGTTGTAGACAAGGATACCCAGACCCTTGTATATAATATGGCAGACCTGGACAGGAAACATAAAATGGTGAGTATAGTCTGTGGTACATCATACCTTCTTTGGCACCCATGAAGGGCCACCTCCTCGTGGTGGGTGCTGGGTCACGCTAAGCGCCCTTCAACCCCCCGTTGTGGACCCGGGGGGCATAGTTTGGTCCACCAACCTGTTCGCCGTGGGTTGCGCCCCTGTGTCGGTGGAGGACGGGAGGCTGGTGGTTGAGGGCACTGGTTCCAGGAACAGTGTTCCTTTGCCCAACACACCACTTCGCCCCTTACTTCACCTAGACGGGTGGTTGAACTGGCCCGGTTCAATCAATCGGCTGGTCTCGCCATGCCCTGTGCATAGTGTACATTTTTGCACATTTAACTCTTTTGGGGTTTTGGCCATTTTTGATTGTGTATTTATAAATTATTGTTCTATTTAATTGCCTATGCCAGAAGGCGGTGGCTCATGGGCCAATCTGGCACTATTGACCTCCGGGTTCTGTTTGTCTTCAGGTAAATGTCTAGGGCGGAACCAGCCTTACTTTTATTCTGTTTGATTATTATAGCTACCCGTGTCTCTTTTGCTGGAGTATAGCATCCCTGTAACCCTGGTGGTCGTAGTCGGCTTCCACTTCGACACCGTCCTTGTTGACACTCCATGGTGGGTGGGGAGCGGGAATGTTGAATGATTTTCCTTATCATGGCAACCTTACTTCACACTGGTTCTAGATCCAAAAATAAAAGAAGACATTTAGATACAGATACCATTTCTTCTTCTGAGGATGAAAGTGGCTCTCAAAGTAACATCGACTCATGGCCACGGTTTCTGGTGGTTAATGGCGTTGATGGAGCACCTCTCCAGATTAACCCTTTTGTTGTGTCCAAGGCTGTTGACGGGATTTGTGGAGATGTCAAGAATGTAACGCGTCTCAGAAATGGATCTCTGCTTGTCGAATGTTCACGGCGTCAACAGTCAGTTAATCTTCTCAAAGCAGATCATTTTGGAACTACTGAAATTGCTGTCTCTGTGCACAAATATTTAAATTCGAGTAGGGGTGTCATCCGAGATCGTGCAAGGTGTCTTTCTGACATGTCCGAGGATGAGATAGCTTCAGAACTCAAATCTCAAGGTGTCACGTCTGTGAAAAGGTTCACCAGAAAAGATCAGGACAGAGTTGTACCAACGACCACTTATCTTCTTACGTTTGCGTTTCCCAAAGTACCGTCATCAATCAAGGCTGGTTATTTCAACATCGGAGTGGATGTATATATACCAAATCCACTCCGATGTTATAATAATCAGAAGTTTGGGCATGGGGCCAGGTCTTGTACTAAGTCCCCAACTTGCTCCCGTTGCAGTAAAGATCATGATGGTACTACCTGCACAGATGACATTCGGTGTGCTAACTGCAATGGTGAGCACTTCTCTTCATCAAAATCCTGTCCATTCTACCAGAAACAGTCACAAATACTCAAACTCAAAGCATACCAATAATATTTCCTTTTCTGAAGCAATTAAATTACTGACTCCGCAAACTCGTACTACTACATCCACAATCTCGTACTCTGCTGCCATTTCATCTTCAAAGTGTACTGTTGACAGAGCATGTCAGACTGACATCTGCTGGGTCACAGACAAACAATCACTGTCTACATTTGCTACACATGGCAACGAATCTTCAACGTCTGCGTCACAGACTGAGATTCAGAGTGAACGTTCAACTGCACCTGAGCTAGTGCTAGAATCTGAAACTGAGACTGCAAAGTTATCACCAAAACCTGTAAAACTGACAAGCAAAGAAAGGAAACAATTAAAGAAGAAAGAGTCCCGGACCCTCAAACATGTAGAGGTGCCGTCCCCATGAAGATCTCCTGTAGTGGTTCATAACAATTTTGAACCTTTAGACATGGAAGTCAATTCTTCTCCACCAACTCAACGGAGAGGATCTTCCTCAGGTTCACGATCTCCAGTTCAGCCTCCATGAGCTGTACTTTCAATATTCTTCAGTGGAACTGTAGAGGCCTTAGAAACAATTTCAATGATCTGCAACTTTTAATTCAAGACTTCAAGCCATCAGCATTATGTTTGCAAGAAACCTATCTAAAACACACGGATAAATTTGATATCAGACAATATGATTCCTACAACTGTTTCTCACCTCCAGGTGCTAAAGCTACTGGAGGATCTTCTATTTTAGTGAATCATGGAACTATCCACAGTCTTGTTCCTCTCAATACCCCTCTTCAGGCAGTTGCGGTCCGTGTTACTTTGCATATTGCTGTTACCTTATGTTCATTGTATATCCCACCATCATCGTCTCTGCAGCAATCTGATCTTCAGATGCTTTATGACCAACTCCCAAAACCATGTCTTATCATGGGAGATTTAAATGGTCATAACCCACTTTGGGGTAGTAATACCACCAACGCAAAAGGAAAGATTCTTGAGGACTTCGTCACAAATAATGATTTATGTATTTTTAATGATAATTCTAACACATATCTTCATCCTGCAACTGGCTCATACTCCTCTCTAGATTTATCCGTTGCAGACTCCAGCTTATACAATGAATTTGAATGGTCAGTCCACGATGATCTTTGTGGAAGTGACCATTTTCCCACTGTTCTTTCAGCCATAAACCCCAGTGATGCTGCACCATCGTCTAGGTGGAACTTTAACAAGGCAGATTGGTCTTTATTCGATGCCGTGTGTACAAACAGATTAAAACCTGATTTTTTTCTAAATGTGTCTGATCCTATTCAGATGTTTTCTGAAGAATTGAATATGATTGCTGATGATTGTATTCCCAAGTCCTCTATGGTCCCACACATCCGTAAGCCATGGTTCACTATTGACTGCAAACAAGCTAGAAAGGCTAGGAAAAAGGCAGAAAAATATTTCCGTCGGCACCCGACAGTCCATAACTTAAACCAATTTAAAATTTCAAACGCCAAGGCTCGTCGTACATTTAAACAAAATAAACGACAGTCATGGCGAAATTATGTTTCTAACATTAACTCACGAACACCTGTTTCTAAGGTATGGAATATGGTGAAGAAGATAAAAGGTAAAGGTTCCAAATGTAGTGTGCACCATCTTAAGGAGGGTAACTCTTTCTTAACAGAAAAATCTGATATTGCTAACAAATTAGGTGAAACTTTAGCCAAACATTCCTCCTCATCCAATTATTCACCAACCTTTCAGAAATTTAAAACCAGCAAGAAAAGAAAATTAATTTTAATTCCGATAATGGGAGGATTATAATGAAATCTTTTCCATTCATGAGCTCCATACTGCCCTTGGGCAAAGCTCATGACACTGCTTCAGGTCCCGATAATATTCATTATCAGCTTCTTAAACATCTCCCTGAATCATGTTTAGAAACATTATTAAATATCTTTGACAGTATATGGACTTCTGGTAATTTCCCACCATCATGGCGCAATGCCATAATCATTCCTATTCTAAACCTGGACGGGATCATACTGATCCGTCTAATTACAGACCAATTTCTTTAACTAGCTGTGTTTGCAAGACAATGGAACGTATGGTTAATAATCGTCTAGTTTGGTACCTGGAAACCAACAACCTTATCACTGACATTCAATGTGGTTTCCGGAAAAATCGTAGTACCATCGATCATTTGGTACGATTGGAGTCTTTCATAAAAAATTCCATGCTAAATAAACAACATGCTGTGTCGATTTTTTTCGATCTTGAAAAGGCATATGATACGACTTGGAAGTATGGCATTTTGAAAGATCTCCATGATTTTGGTTTGAGGGGTCGTTTACCCCTTTTTATATCACAGTTTTAGAAGACAGACAATTTCAAGTCCGAGTGGGGACTACCCTGTCTGATCATTACAGTCAGGATCAGGGTGTCCCTCAAGGCAGCATTTTGTCTGTCACTTTATTTAGTGTTAAGATCAACAGTTTATCAAAGGTTTTAAATGATTCAATTGATGGATCTCTTTTTGTGGATGATTTTAATATTTCTTGTCGTGGGAAAAATATGCATACTATTGAACGGCAACTGCAGCTGTGTTTAAATAAAATAGATAAATGGTGTCTTGAAAACGGTTTTAAATTTTCTAAATCCAAAACTAATTGTATACATTTTTGTAGAAAATATAAACCGCATAAAGACCCGGAACTATCTTTACATGGCACTCCAATCAAAGTTGTCAAGGAGGCCAAGTTCTTGGGTCTAATTTTCGACTCCCATTTAACTTTTCTTCCGCATATTAAATCACTTAAAGCTAAATGCCTGAAGGCCCTTGACTTGTTGAAAGTTGTTTCCAACTCAAAGTGGGGAGGGGGATCAAACTACCCTCCTCCACTTATATCGATCATTGGTCCGCTCAAAACTTGATTATGGCTCCATCGTATATGGTGGGGCCTGTAAAAGCAACCTCAAACTCCTTGATTCTATCCATCACCAGGGTCTAAGACTTTGTCTTGGGTCTTTCAGAACCTCTCCCATTGACAGTCTCTACGTTGAGGCCGATGAGCCATCTTTAAAACTTCGCCGTATCAAATTGTCCCTACAATATATCACAAAGTTATATTCTAATGAATCAATCCTGCTCACACTTGCGTTTTTAATCCTCTTTATGAGGACTTGTATAATAAAAACCTTCACTTGTTCCGCCTCTTGGTTTAAGAATTAAACCATTTCTTTCTGCTGCCGGCATTGAGCTGGAAAATATATCTCCTTCCGTCTTCTTTCTTCTCCTCCTTGGCAACTGGTGAGGCCTGAAGTTGACCTAACTCTGACAAAGTTTAAAAGAAATCTGAAACTAATGAATTACAGTATAAACAAGAATATAATCAATTAAAAATCAAATATAGAACATACAAATCCTTATTTACAGATGGGTCCAATGACCGCGGCGCAGTGGCATGTGCCACTGTCATTGGATCCCGAACAATATCTTCTAGAATACCTGATAACAGCTCTATATTTACAGCAGAAGCAAACGCCATCTTCACAGCTCTTAAATATATTCAAAGACACCCCAAACATAAACAATATATAATATTTTCTGACTCTCTTTCTTGCCTTCAGGCTATTAAAAAATCTTTCTTGCAAACATCCACTTTTAATTGAAATAATCGAATTGTATAATGAGCTTGCTACTGGCCAATGCGACATCGTCTTCTGTTGGTTACCCAGCCACGTTGGCATTTCAGGGAATACAATGGCCGATCTTGCTGCTAAGGCAGCACTCAACAAATCTGTGACACCACTTCTTATTCCATATTCTGATTATAAAGCTGGCATTAGAACTTACATCCGTGATCTGATGCAGAAGAAGTGGGACAACCAAGTAGGTATTAATAAACTACATGCAATAAAACCTTATATTGGTTACACCTACTTGGGTTGTCAGTCCAGATTTGAGGAGGTCATTATGCGACGATGTCGCATTGGCCATACGCGCTATACTCACAAATACCTATTGAAAGGTGAGGATCCTCCGTTTTGTATCCCTTGTGATGAGAGAACCACGGTCAAGCATATCCTGCTTGACTGTGTTGAATTCTCCATCATAAGGGATAAATATTCAATGTAAAAACAATGAAGGATCTTTTACAAATGTTAGTTATCATTTAATTATTGGTTTTTTAAAAGAAATTGATTTCTTTGATGAATTCTGATTAATGTGGTTTATAAATAGATATATTTTAAAGATTGGTAATTTAGATTAGTACCTTAGATTGTTAGTGGCTGTACCCTCAAAGGAGGTTAAAGTACTGTAAAATTATTGTCCTCCTGAGAGGGTACGTAAGTCCCAAAACTTTCAAAGTAGACTTTTCACATACCAAGTTTTTAAACGTAGTATTTTTGTTCATTTAGATTTTGGCTAAATTGTCCTACAATCACCAGCGGCTGAAGGGATGGTGTAAATCCAACTAGGGTCCATGCAGGTAGCAAAGGTACTGTAAGTCCCCATGGACCTAGCATGGTGACCTACTTTCAGTTGTTGGTGATCTATAACCATTTTATATTGTGTTGTCCCTGTGGTTAAAATGTTTTAGACTCTATTACTAGTTTTATCTGTATATGTGATATTCTAGTTGTTTTACTGCCCTTCGTTGGCAGGTTTTATAATATTCATATATTTCATTTCAGTATCAAATGTTCTCGTCACGATATGGCTGAAATATTGCCGAAATGATGACAAACAGACTAAATATTAACTCTGTGCCGCAACTCAAGGCTCCAAGAAACGAAGCAGCCGGGATACAGAACCCAGTCAGAGCGGACGGGTGTGCACTCAAGTGTAACGGCTGGTTCATTTGCAGATGCCCTCACGGGTCTTTGTGTGTGTATATATAGAGATGTTGGGTTTTGTAAATACATGCTCATTTTTTGTGTAAAACATTTTGCAATCAACAGACATCATAACATGTCATGTGTTCAAGTATCACACCTGCCTGTCTGTGTAATTACATAATGTGACAGAGACCGAACTCGGGCCATAAATCAATGCATTTTGTTTATGGTGTATAGCCTGATTGGTGTTAAGTTCAAATTGCATGTGGTCAGTGATAGCAGCTGTGTATTGAATATTGTCATGTGCAGACAGGCAGGCAGACACACAGGTGTCAATAAAACAAGACATTGAGTTTTGTCTGTGACAACGACATATCTATATATTGAAATTTTGTCAACGCTAAAAAATGACATTGCTTTTAAGTATCGAAATGAGAATGTGACTCGGTAAGAAGAACGTGTGGTGAAATAGACAAATGAAATTATATAAACAGTTAATTTACTGTCAAAACATATAAAAAGCTCGCGCCTGTGAGATATCAACAAAACATTAGAAAAATAGCTCACACCAAAGCCTTCACCGAGTATTCACCCGACAACCCACTTCCTAGCTGCGCGAACCTATTTCACTGCGCATATGCTATGAGCGCAGCCCAGCTGTTGAAACCCGTTTTCCCCAGAAAAGTCTGGGGAAAATTAGTGAAACGTTTGAACTCTGATTTCGCGCGTTTTTTTTCATCGCGTTATTTTTCAACTTTATAAGTTGAATTTGCATTTTTGATGATTTGTTTTGGTATGTCCATACCAAAAGGTATCAGAATCTGCAAAGTTGTGTTTTACGTTGCATGTGACCTTTAAAGCTCTTGTAATTGTATCAGCCCATTAAATAATCTGTGTGAGTTTTTTCAGGAAAGTAAAGAAATGAAGTCGAAAATTGATTCGGACGAGAAAAATGTTAAAACCTTACGGACAGGCTCAGTGGGGAAATCAAAATCTTGAAATCGTTTCTTCTATTTTTCATAACTTCACGTGCTTTCAAACATTTAAATGTGTCAGCATCTACACTTAGGTGATCGCAATAGTCATCGAAAACATTTGAAAGGATGCAGTGCACTTGATGACAGTTTCCTGACGTTCTTTTCAAACGTTTAGTTAGGGTCCGACCCCTGGATACGGTTGTGAATATGACAGTGTGCAAGTGAATTTTATGTGAGCCCTGTTTGTTCAAGAATTTCACAAACATTTCTGTTAATAAAGATTGCAAACGTTATAATTAATTATTACATGCCCTGGAAACCGTATACCCTTGAGCTAACCAATGTTTTGATATAGAATTATGTACAATGTTTACAGCTCATTGCCGAGAAGGAAAACATCGAGAAGAGACTCTCAACAAAACTGGATTCAGGGGAGAAACGGATTGAAAGCTACAGACTGCTCACAGACAAGCTCCATGGAGACATCAGTAGCCTCAAATCGGTTTGGTTTTATTATTTACGTTCGTTCATACCTTTAGACATCCTAGCATCTGCCCTTATATTCCAGTATATATGTCACAAAAAAAATATCGCTTCACGTCATCTCAATTTATAATCAATAAAAATCCTTTAAATGTGTTGTGAATGTATCAGCCCATTAAATAATCTGTGTGTTTTGAGAGTTTTTTTCAGGGAAGTAAAGAAATGAAGTCGAAAATTGATTCGGACGAGAAAAATGTTTAAACCTTACGGACAGGCTCAGTGGGGAAATCAAAATCTTGAAATCGTTTCTTCTATTTTTCATAACTTCACGTGCTTTCAAACATTTAAATGTGTCAGCATCTACACTTAGGTGATCGCAATAATCATCGAAAACATTTGAAAGGATGCAGTGCACTTGATGACAGTTTCCTGACGTTCTTTTCAAACGTTTAGCTAGGGTCCGACCCCTGGATACGGTTGTGAATATGACAGTGTACAAGTGAATTTTATGTGACCCCTGTTTGTTCAAGAATTTCACAAACATTTCTGTTAATAAAGATTGCAAACGTTATAATTAATTATTACATGCCCTGGAAACCGTATACCCTTGAGCTAACCAATGTTTTGATATAGAATTATGTACAATGTTTACAGCTCATTGCCGAGAAGGAAAACATCGAGAAGGAAAACATCGAGAAGAGACTCTCAAAGAAACTGGATGTTATACTTGGTAAATTTGCATTACGTTTCTTCCTGTGCCTCCCAGGTCACTTAATCCGCAATATATTTGACGACTTCACTTGTATCTACAATCAGTTAAAATCATCGAAGTGGTAAACAAATATAATCCTTGTCTCCTTTAGCTTTCCTCCCATACTAAAACAAATCATATAATCACCTTAACATATATGATAAACATGGAGTCACTAAACCTTCCCGAACAGATTCTATCATCACTATTTGATTATGATTCCTTAAACGCATGCTCATGATAAAGTCGGAACGGACACAGCTCTTGTCAGAGGCTTTGTGTATTTTAAATGGGTTTTGTGGCTTACATTTATCATATATATACATTATACATATATGGTTATATGCATGTTTGTTTTACAGGTGTGGCCAGGGAATGTGGTATCCATCTGCTGAAGCCAGGGACTGTAGACAAGTCTGTGGTGCTGAAGTGTGAGTACATTTACTCAAATAACATACAACGTCAGCACACCACATAAGACATACTACTACTGAGGAGGATAGACGAAGTTACGTATCTCATGCTTGAAGTAACGCACGCTGGGGTTCAATGATTGTGTGGTATTGTTTTAACAATGTAACGCATCATGAGGGCCTAATGTTCCAGGGTCATGCCTGGCGATCAACGTAAACACGGGCACCCGTTGATGGACTGATCTTTGACATTTTTTTCTTCAAATACCTAATTTTCCAAATTTGTAAATCACAGACTGAGACACACTGGACATATTGGCTATATTTTGTTAAATTCTGCGAATTTAATTGATGCCAGTAACCAGAAGGTGTTCATCGTGATGTTGATGACGCACGTCCAGCCTGGTGGAGCGTTACTGTTGGTAATGAAAATTCACATATTTTGTTTTAATCCTAAAAGTCACTTGGTACTGTGTATACCCCTCAGCAGACTACACCCACTCAGTTGAAGAATATTTAAGAGTTTTGTTAATAGAATCTTCTTGTATGTCATTTCTAACTGAAAATATTTACAACCCCTTTCATCACATATTTAATATTCATAACCACCATATATCGATAAAACAGAGTAAATAGTGTTATTGTTTGCGTCCATTGACGTCCCAAGAATTTTTTTAATACTATTATTCATGAGAATCAATAAGATCAGTTACACCATTTCAAGAACACTGCAAAATGTGTTGGAGTAACTCAGGACACGTGCGTGACCACGTGACATCATCTAGCCACTCTCAATTCCTTCTCTTTGACATAATTGAGAAGGACTTAAAATTTGTAAACAAAAAGACATAAGTGCATTTGGTCCCTGTTTCACAAAATACAAACTTAGTTATCATGTTAAAAAAAGTATAAAACTGTCAACAGTTGACGTCTGCAAGCATCTGTTTTTGATCGAGCAAGAAAAGAAACGTGCCTCCGCCAAATCGTGGTTGTGATGAGTTGCACTTGCGGGGCTCTCGTGTCATACAGCAAAAATGCATTTCTATTTTGGGGGGATATTCTCAATTACTGTTTATGCCAGTAAATAGAAGATGTTTATCAAGATGTTGACGACGCATATCCAGTATGATTACAAATGGTGCGTTAAATAAAGCAAGACTAAAGTGGTGGAGCGTTGTTGTTGGTAATGACATAAAAACGGTAAAAGCTGAGAGTGACTTTCAATAAAGTTTACAAATCAACATTCACCCCTGTGACATTTCCTTTTTTCACTTTTTACTCATGAAAGTCATTCGGCAGTCCTAGTATTGTTTACAATCCTACCAAAGACTCAGCTCTTATTTGAAGATATCAATATATTATGAAAATTGTAGATTTTTGCCGATTGTGTTATATTGTTTCTACCATATCTAACTGAAAATATTAACGACCCCTTTTATCATATATTCAACGTTCATAATCTCTCTGTATCGTAATAAACAGAGTAAATAGTGTTAATTTTTGCGTCCACTGATAAGAATAACCAAGTAAAAAGAAATTAAGTATCTCTAAAATGAATTACCCCATTTCCAACAACACTGCAAAGTGAGTTGGAGTTGCAAGCACACGTGCGCGATCACAAGTTCGCAAGCCACTCTCAATTCCTTATTTTTCATATAACCAGCGATAGACCTAAAATTTGTCAATGTGACATAAGCGCATTTGAACCTTATTTCACCAGCTTCTAGCTTAGTTGTGATATTTGCCCGTTAAAAACAGAGTGAAATTGACAACAGTTGATCGTCTTCAAGCAACTGCTACTGATACTGAGAGCGGGAAAATCGACCTCGCCTCCGCTGAAGCGACCTCGACACGAGTTGCACGTGCTGGGCCGGTGTGTCACAACAAAGAGCGGGAAGGCATTTCGAAAATATTTTGGAATACTCTTAATTAATTCTGTTAGGTATTTGGTCTCAACATGTTTTTTCTTTTGCTACAAACCATAACAATATAATATTTTCCAAAATATGATCTTCCAGAAACATTAAGAAAAAACATGACTTGTTTGTACATAATGTCATTATCATTTATCCTGTTTGCGTCCTCCTGACAATCTACTTTCTTGTCATTGTCAACCCGCCGAGCGATCCCTGATGATGTATATTAGAACTGGTCTTCAGTAATCCATGCTAGTCGTAAGAGACGACTAACAGGACCGGGTGGTCAGGCTCGTTATGGATATTTTCGTAGATCGATGCTGGTATTGTCAATCACTGGATTATTGGGTGTAGACTGCATGTTTTGCAGATCGCCGTGATATAGCTGGCATACTGCTATAACCGAGTGCCCTATTAAACAACAAACAGGCAGTCTAGCGAGCCATGCTCGTCCTTAACATGTCACCTAATCTCCCGAATGACGTCCCCTACTCAAGTGACACTGATTTTGACAATGTTTGACATGCGATCTACACGTTCCTCATTATAGCGCGTCTGTATAATGAAACAGTGTACCACTGCGACTGTTCGCTTCTGTATGATCGATGATTATCCTGCTCTGTTTACCATTCCGTGTCTGTAATTCAGAATATCAACTGTAAATATTTCTGATTCCTTTAAGGCCATTCAGATTGACGTGTTGCCCTAACCATACTGACAATTCGGGTAGATTTAATATCAGTTGATCCAAATATAATACACAGCAGTTTTATTGTACTTACTTCTGCTTTGATTATATTGCTGTATGCATATCAGTACTTTGTAGATAGATGTGAATTTCGTGCACATTAATATTAGTATGGAACTTAGCGGCTTATGTCTTATTTACATTTAAATTCACATGTTGTAGGTATACCACTGAAGTATGACAAAGACAGAGTCAATCTCGACAAAGTCCACATCAAAACAGAAGGAGACCTGGTCAACAGGAAGTCGGACACCAGACCTGCAGGGAAGGGGAGACTGAAGAAGTACACCGGCACATGCAGCACTGTCCCCTTCCCCCAGGATGGCTGTCTCCAGTACTGGGAGGTGGAGAACAGGGTCAGTCTGGACAAACTACTCTCAGAGAAACTGCTCATCCTGGAGGTTGGAGTATGTAGGGAGGAGCAGAGGGACGTGCATCATTATATATATGGCCGTCCTCACTCCTACTGTATGACCGTCGCCCGCTGTACTATACACGGTGGGATATGCAGGATGATAGGGAAGGAAGGGAAGCGTGTGCTGTGTCTACCTGACACTCTCCCCAACACAGCAGGGACATCACACACACTCCATTACGGTGTTGTCTATGATGATGCCAGGAAAAAGATTGTCTTCATTGATGTGAAGGAGAAGAAAGTCATGTCGACGTTAGACAATGTAGACTGTAGTGAACCACTGTGGCCGATGTTCGGGGTGTATAACGCACATCGCCTCACTGTCAGCATGAGACTTGTAGTTGGCAGCGACATCAACATGACGGAGGAGAAGAAAGCGATGATTGTCAAAGCGCTGTCGTGATGGTGACAGTGATGGTTACTATGAACACATGGATACGTAGTAGATACCTAACAGCAGCATGAGTGAAGAGAACCTTCCTCGTGACCTTGTTGTATGTGAGATTCTCAAGTGTTTATACAAACACAAACAGTGAAGCTTGTAGAAAACATACCGCTAGTAGTGCAACTTATGATCTAGTACACCTATAAACTATTTTCCTGCACGTAGCATGTGGATATCATACGTGAGTAATCGCAGTTAAAATATTCATTAAAAACAATATGATCCCTAAACATGTCCATTGATCATAACCGAACATGTATCGGAACATACACTACACGGACCTGGTGAATCCCACGGGGGTGTTTGACATGTACTGGAACATACACTACACGGACCTGGTGAACACCACGGGAGTATATGACGTGTATGTGAACATACACTAAACAGACCTGGTGAATACCACGGGGGTGTATGACATGTATGGGAACATAAACTACACGGACCTGGTGAACACCACGGGAGTGTATGACATGTATGTGAACATACACTAAATGGACCTGGTGAATCCCACGGGGGAGCATGACATGTATGGGAACATACACTATGCAGACTTGGTGAATACCACGGGGGTGTATGATATGTATTAGAACATACACTACACAGACCCGGTGAATACAACGAGGGTGTATGACATGTATTGGAACATACACTACACAGACCTGGTGAATACCACGAGAGTGTATGCCAGTTTTTGTCACTCATTGCTTCGATATTTGATACAAGTGTTTTATTTGACTTGTTTAACAGTTGACTTGTAAGTTTCACTGAGATGATGTCACAATCCACAGTAGCTTATCGTGTTAAGGCGATATTTATTTTTTCTTTGTTAGAAACTGAATGAGAAATATGTGTATTGTCAATTTGTTCAAAGTGTATTGTTTTGTATTGGGTTAACCCAAAACATGTATATACAAGGAGCATATCAGATAGATTTTAAAAGAGCCATTCCAACAGTATTTATAGGCACTTCGTCGCAATAATCAGAGGGAGGGAGGCATAATCTTGTAATCAGACGCTCGCGTGCCAGAAATGAATTGTGATATTTCACAAACACTTCAGTGACTATGTCTTGTGTAAAGGGATGATTGATTTTATTAGCCAGCCCCAGAGCTTGTAACTCTTGCAGAAATATTGTTTTGTTTCAGGATAAGTTGACATACCGCTTCTTGTAAGAAATACAAGGCAGCGGTTGTAGTAAATGTATATGTCTATATCTCTACAGTAAGGGGATACAGAAACATGATTTGTTATTTTATCATACTATTTTGTAATATAGACATTTGTTTGTGTACGTTAGTGGACAGTGTTCTTTTTGGCTTCCAAGATGAGAGGCCGCTCTCCTGTGGATATGTAGTTCGGAATAACCAGAAAGCTGTTTGATACTTTTTCACTTATTTACGCACGCGTCGTCGTACTTTAGCTATAATAGTTCAGGACAAAGGAGGACCTTATTACACTATACATGGTGGGAGAGCGAACTGTACACATATACTTATCTTGCCTTTCCTCTTGTACTGCGAAAATGGAGTTTAGAATAACCAGAAAGCTGTTTGATACTTTTTGACTTCCAAGATGAGAGGCCGCTCTCCTGTGGATATGTAGTTCGGAATAACCAGAAAGCTGTTTGATACTTTTTCACTTATTTACGCACGCGCCGTCGTACTTTAGCTATAATAGTTCAGGACAAAGGAGGACCTTATTACACTATACATGGTGGGAGAGCAAACTGTACACATATACTTATCTTGCCTTTCCTCTTGTACTGCGAAAATGGAGTTTAGAATAACCAGAAAGCTGTTTGATACTTTTTGACTTCCAAGATGAGAGGCCGCTCTCCTGTGGATATGTAGTTCGGAATAACCAGAAAGCTGTTTGATACTTTTTCACTTATTTACGCACGCGTCGTCGTACTTTAGCTATAATAGTTCAGGACAAAGGAGGACCTTATTACACTATACATGGTGGGAGAGCAAACTGTACACATATACTTATCTTGCCTTTCCTCTTGTACTGCGAAAATGGAGTTTAGAATAACCAGAAAGCTGTTTGATACTTTTTGACTTCCAAGATGAGAGGCCGCTCTCCTGTGGATATGTAGTTCGGAATAACCAGAAAGCTGTTTGATACTTTTTCACTTATTTACGCACGCGTCGTCGTACTTTAGCTATAATAGTTCAGGACAAAGGAGGACCTTATTACACTATACATGGTGGGAGAGCGAACTGTACACATATACTTATCTTGTCTTTCCTCTTGTACTGCGAAAATGGAGTTTAGAATAACCAGAAAGTTGTTTTGATATTAATTTACTTATTGTGAACATTTGCAAACGCTTAACACAAATACTAATCTTGTCTTTCCTCTACTAGCATTATACTTGTTCCATTTCCAAGTCAGCAAATCGCACATATAGTACTTTTCGGAGCTTTACCCATACACTGTTGTATTTGTAGTGGAGATTTACAATAAAGAATAGTCAAATACTAAATTTGTTCTTTTTGCTGTTAGTTCAGATTTTCATGGATATCAGAGTTGACATCTTTTACTTAACTAAAATAAACAGGCATGAGTTCTGAGAAGTTCTCGGACGGTGGGGTAGCCTAGTGGTTAAAGCGTTCGCTCGTCACGCCGAAGGCCCGGGTTCGATTCCCCACATGGGCACAACTTGTGAAGTCCATTTCTGGTTGGCCCCGCCGTGATATTGCTGGAATATTGCCATATTCAGCCAGCTCAGCTGAAAAGTTGTGATGCAGGCATTCTGTCAAAAAAAAAAAATATTGCTGACTATGGCGTTAAACAACAAGCAAACAAACAATCATGAACATCAAAGGCAACGTCTGCTGTGACGCTGGAATCTTCGGACCTGGAGACGGAACCATTGTTCAGACAAAGGCAGGTACCTGCTTCATGATGGTCGTCTGAGAGTTTTGAGGCTCATTAACACTGGCTACCTGACAAGGAACATTTATCCTACAGATTAAAATGAACATTGCTTTTCGTTTGGATCGTCTTAACTGGATTATTGAATGACGAATAATTCTTGTTTCTAAACTTGGTGAGGTGTGAACATCTGGATGTTGAACTCACATCGCATGAAAAACAACCAAACCCACGACACCCTGACTTTCGGTTCCCCTTGCAAAAATAGAGGCTTGAATTCAAGGATTTTACGAATGCTTCCATTAATTGTGGCCATTATAGAGAATCCAATTCACTTGTGTGACTTGTATTCTCGTTTGAGAATGTGTGACTTGTATTTTTGTTTGAGAATTCGCAGTCACCTTGTCATAAAGAAAAGATCACAGTCATCAAAAACGAGTGACTAAACGTCACAATTTTAATACAATCGTTAAACTTCGGTAAAGCGCAATTCCGAACGCTATCAATCGGTAAATATCTGCCCTGCAAGTCCCACATAGAGAGTTCAGGTTTTGGGGGTATATAGCTGAATGTTCAAATTTGAACGTTTATAGTTGAGTGGTTAAATATGTAGTGTTTTCACCAGAATGGTTCAGTGACCAGCACTTCCAAGTCTGATTGCATGCGGCGACTCTGTTAATTGAATGGTCAGGTTCGGTGACATAATGGATTATCTGGCTCTGCTTATACTATCAATCATTAGTTTGTATGGTTCAGATTTGGTGTTGTAAGAGTCAGAGAGATGGAATATCCTTCAGTGCGATGTTAACTAAGAAATATATGCACCGCACATAGATCTACAAACCCTTAGCCTCAACATACATTAGTACAGACGTGTCCAGCCAGCATAAGGGGAACAACTCGTGCTGGCTTAATATTATTCAGACCGCTCAGAAAGCACATATCTGGTAGATCAGCCGTCACTTCTCTGCCGCGGGTCTTGTATGTGAGTGACACCGTTATAATACCCTACCTTGTACATTTAGTTGAAACTTAGACTCAGTTATACATGCAATGTTTGTTTTGCAATGAACGTAACTGATACATACATTTTATTACCATAGAGAACACTGATCATTTGGGGTTGTGCTATAACGCACGTAAAGCTTATCAGGGGCCATGTATGCAGTAGACCATCCACGACTATCCAGTGCAGTGTATCGCCATTCGACTAAATACCTTCGACACAATCAGCACCTTCTTTTGGTGACGTAACTAGCTCCCTTGCTCTAACCACTAACTATATCCAGACTTTCCCCAATACATGATACTCTAACCACTAACTATGTCCAGACTTCCCCCCAATACAAGATACTTGGAATCAACAAACAATCATAATTTTCGCTTCTGAGTTTGGGATTCAGAAATACCCATCAGCACATGCTCTGGGTGTATCACAAATCACAGGACGACAGGGAATCCAAGTCTTTTGTCTGGTTTTACGATACACTAAGAGTCGAAACAAGTATCGTTGCTTCTTTAAGTCATAAAAACGTCATTTTTAATTGAACGTATATTTCGGGGCGTCCAAACCGAGCTCACAACGATGCCACAGGGGTGCCTGGGACATGTCATGATGCAACAGAGATGTGAAAGACTAGCTGCTCAGTGAATACTGCTTAACGCCGCATCCTGGGTCGCAATTGGTCGTCAGCTGTCTTGACATCACAATCAAATCACCGGCCTGTGAAGTTGGTTGAACGCTGTACCTTTTACATTCAAGACACTGGTTGTTACCATTTGAGTGTGAGTGAGTGAGTTTAGATTTACGCGGCACTCAGCAGTATTACAGCTATATGGAGGCGGTCTGTAAATAATCGAGACTTGACCAGACATTCCAGTGATCAACAGCACTGAGCATCGATCTGCGCAACTGAAATACGATGACATGTGTCAACCAAGTCAGTGAACCTGACCACCCGATCCCGTCAGTCGCTTCTTACTACAAGCATGGGTTACTGAAGACCAATTCTAACCCGGATCTTCGCGGGTCGTTACTATTTGAAAAGTGAAAAACACGAAAGAGTGAATTTGGAATAAGTATTATGCGCATGCGTGCGGGCGTGCATATATATTCACCTCTTGCCCTTTAAAGTTAAAATGATTTCTGTTTAACGTTTGAGCTCCAAGACAAGTTTAAGCTCCCAAGGTTCACATTCCAAGGTTCACATTCTCCATGTCTCAAACATGGTGACTGGGCTGACGAATAAAATTATATTTATCATAACATACTGAATTCATAAAAAGGTCAATGGTAAACACCAGAAACAAACCCCGTTTGCTTAACGACACCCAGTAACGCTGGGGTCAGCCCGTCCAATAGACAAACATGCTTACATCATAAACATGTATTTACACGTTAAATATCATATGTGTCCAAATGCCAAGAAGTGATGTTCATTGTTGTGAGTATATATCGTGATGCCCACAGCCATTACCTTCTACAGGCATGATGTGAAGGTTACAAAGAGGATTACACAGAAATAAAAATCAATCGTCACAGTTAGACAACTGCCTGGTTAGACACGAGGAGCGTCCTCCGCTGTTGGTTGTTCACGATGTACGTCTTGATGAAGGTTGAATGACTATGTCGTACTTAGACTGTCAGTAAAATAAACTTCAAATTTGTCACCCGCCCACCACACCTATCAGCTTCGATATCCTTTCTTTCCAGTTTTACAAAATAATCACGAGCTTGACGCTTACAGTAATTGACAGTTCTGATATCAGTAAATATGCATATAAAACTATAGATTATCCGTAGCTGTTTTGAGAAAGAGTTCATTAAATGCAAAACGCAAGCTACTAATGTAAGCAACCACTTAAGTGACATAATCGCTTCCAATGAAATCTCCCACTTGACTTGCTATTGCATCGAACGTAATGCGTATAGAAGCCACAATATGAATCAATACTCTCGTCTGTGTGTGAGTAGTTTCACTCGACGTTACCGACATCAACATTGTTGTCGGAGTCCAGAGCTCTTGATTGTATAACACTAGTCATATTGACTGTAGCAGGTTTATCTCAGTTACTCAACACAGGGCAATACAAATAATACTGACTGTAGCATCTATACCTCCATCACTTAGCACAAGGAAGTACAAGTCATAGAGTCTCGAGCATCTATACCTCCATCTCTTAGTACAACGAAATACAAGTCATACAGTCTCGACCATCTATACCTCCATCTCTAAGTACAAGGAAGTACAAGTCATACAGTCTCGAGTATCTATCCCTCCATCTCTAAGTACAATGATATACAAGTCATACAGTCTTGAGCATCTATACCTCCATCTCTTAGTACAAGGAAATACGAGTCATACAGTCTCGAACATCTATACCTCCATCTCTAAGTACAAGGCAATACAAGTCATACAGTCTCGAGCATCTATACATCCATCTATCTTAGTACAAGGAAATACAAGTAATACAGTCTCGAGCATCTATACCTCCATCTCTTAGTACAAAGCAATACAAGTCATACTGACTCGAGCATCTATACATCCATCTATCTTAGTACAAGGAAATACAAGTCATACCATCTCGAGGATCTATACTTCCATCTCTTAGTACAAAGCAATACAAGTCATGCTGACTCGAGCATCTATACCCCCATCTCTTAGTACAAAGCAATACAAGTCATGCTGACAAGAGCAGCTGCATCTTATTTACTCAGTAACAGGCAAATAAAATCATACTCATAGTCTGGCTTTCAGTCCCTGAACAGCACTATTTTCCCTACTGTCTATCCCTCCCTGCAATGCTAAAGCCCTAAATGAAGCAAGTCTAGATTTCCTCAGGTTCAGGTTCTGAATCTCCCATTTCATTGGGGTTACTTTGTGAATTAAAACGGGAATAATTGTAACTAATAAAATTACATATACTCGAAGACTAAGTATTAGTCGTCCATACTCACTGTATCTGTTACAAGTTACAGGTCAGTACAAGCTACATCAAGTGTATCTCCTTTACTCTGTAAGGGGAGTATAAGACATATTTACTGAAGGTGTCGTATATACGTTACTGAGAAACAAGAAATGCTGTGCAAGATAATCTGCACTACATCCTCGATTATCAAAAGTTTGCATTTGACTTTATCTCTCTGGGCCTATATATCTATTGATTATATGTAAATTACAATATAGAATACTGGGTAATTGGGAACAGAAGTGGCAACGATGGTACTGTTACTTGGGTAAATGCAAGACCTTTCATCTATATATCTATAATGAAATATTCTAGTTCTTTTAACATGTGCCCACCAGTGAGTTCTGTGAGTTATATTATATACGTTAATTAATTTATTGATCCATTCATAACAAAATTCTCGGATACCAGTAAATGCTCTTGAAATTAGAAAATTAGAGATTTTGTCTCACCAAGCAACACAAACTGACTATCCCAGAAGATGTCTACGATACATGTAAAGATATAAATGACATTTGTATCTTGTTTTAGTGACAGAAGTTGACAATACATTTTCCCCTTATAAACCATCTTTAGCCAGATTTAACTTTATATCCCGAATTTCATTCAACAATGCTCAGACAGCTGTAGCATTAAGTGTGTTTATCAGGAATTAATATGCCAGAGATAGTATTGTTTTAAATCAAATATTGTTCAGATGAAAGAAAGAAATTCGAATTCAACCCCATTCATTCAATACGACTATGCGTTATGTATCTATATATTTTTTTTTTACATTTGACAGATTATTATGAATATTCACTGCTGAAACGTCATACATGTGTAATGTAATGAAATAAAGTGCACATGGACTATCATACAAACATATCAAATAAAGTTATAAAATGGTTCAGTGCATATATATCTTGATACAGGGAGAAAAAAGAATTACAGTCTTGATTTGTTTGTGTGAGAATTTGAAAAACAAACTGGATTACAAGGAAGCTAAAAGCGAGGTAAAAAACAACTTTACAATTATCTGATTATGTTTGAAAGCAAACTGCATGTATATACCGCATGTCATTCAAATGAAATCCATTAAAATTATGTTAACAAACATTGTTAACAAAACCATCATTATAGGGTTGAAATTCAGGAGGAATATATTATTTGTTATTCACATGATGGAAAATTGTAGCTGGTAAGTGCTCTTGAATATGTATTTAAACTATGCATAGGCTCTCTTGTGTCTGAATTTTTTTATTTTTTTTCAAAATTGTAAAAAATATCATTTTACCGTCCATCCTACATTTATCATTATTGAAATGTAATCATTGTAGAAATGTGCATCAAATGCCCACAGTCAGTCCATACAGGCATTTAATATTCAATTCACACATACAGATACCAATAATATAACAAGCGGCTTCTTAATAGCAGCTTTTCGTTCATTGCATAAAGCAACGTGTAAGGAGCGCTGTGATGGTAGTGACAGACGAAGGGTACCATAGCCTTCGAAGAGCTGACCAAACTATAAACTTTATCAATCAGCACCCGTTAGTAGTTACTGGTTTTACAACTTAATCCCTCCTGCTTATTAGCTTCATGGCTGTGCTATTTGTTATGTCCCGCAACGCGTTTTTGCGGGGGATATTAAAATGGACTCCGTCAGTCCGTGCAGTTTTGTCTTTTCCGGAGCAGAACTCTAAAACCGTTCACTATTTCTTCACCAAACTTGGCACATAGATAGATCTGGTGGTGTACTTGTGCCTTTTGGTAGTTTTGGAATTCTGAATAAAATATGTTTGGCGTTTCCATGGCAATAAGCTGGACTAAAACTGAAATTAGTGGTAGTGCTTTCTTCGGGGCAGAACTCTAAAACAGTTCAATGTTTCTTCACCAAACTTGGCACGTACGCATATCTGGTGGTGTACTGGTGCCTTTTGGTAGTTTTGGAATTCTGAATAAAATATTTTGGTGTTTCCATGGCAACAAGTTCCACTTTGACTGAAATTGGTGATCGAATTTTTTTTTAAGAAGAAAATGTGGAATGAAACTTGATGTATACGTTTGGAAAGAGCTACGGTGTATAAAAGCAGAATGCAGAGGTTGTTCGAGATTTTTATACAGTATTTGGCGTCGATGTTAAGTGAAACGCTTCTCACCCATTCGATGTTGCAGCTGAGCAGCTGAGTTTCGCCGACTTAACGAATAGAGGTATTTTCACCGTCTGCCTGGACGGTCTCGTAGGATGAACAGCGCGTTCTGCTTTGCAAATCTGCACACTACACGAACGAACGAAATTATAGCTTTAACGTCAGCTTTTAGCCTAGCCAATGTCGCCGACGGGGTAGGTCGGGTTTTAGTTAGATTAATTAATAATGTATTGAATAAGGAATAAACCACCGTACCCAAAACAATGTAAATGTAGGCGATTGAAACGTACCTGAATTTTAAATAAAACGTTTATAAAAGTATAGTAAAATAAAATAAAAGCCGAAATTATAAAGGGAAAGAGAAAAATAAATATCAAGCAGTCGTTAATAATAAGAGGAGTTAGAATTGAATAGATAGTAAATAAGGGTTGGGGGATGGGGATGTGGGGAATGCATGGTGGTTGTATAGCATACTTGGGCTTAAGTTGGTGGTGGTACAGTTAAGGTGTACTGGTAGGAATACGGGGCCTAGTAAAGGAAGAAAAATGGGTTAATACGTGTGTGTGGTGGGGTGGGGTGGGGGGGAGAGCAATAAACGCAGTGAGGGTTTTGCTGAGGTTGGCTGTATTTCGGTAGGTATAAGATAGTAGGTATATTGGTTAGGTAAGGGTGTGGGGGATGAGTTTAGTTGACTTAGGGGTGGGGGGAGAGTTGTTTGTAAATGCTAGGCTGAAGTATGAGCTGAGAGCGATAGTGTGCTGTCAGGTATGAGTTAGGGGAAGGGGTGTTATGTAATGGCTTTGGTTGAGGTAGCGGCTGTGAGCGGGTAGGTTGAGCGTGGTTGCTATTGTGTGGGAGAGAGAAACCGGATCCAAATGTTAGGAAGGGCGCGCGGACGTCGGAGAAGACGGACGCGCTGGGGAATGTGAATTTGGGTCCCTTGTCTAAATAGTGAGGGAAGAGGTGACAGAATTGGTTTGGGATGGTCTAAATTTTACCCATTAAGTTGGAGTTTGTGAGGAAAGGAGATATAGCGTTGAATATGTTGGGTGGGTTGTGTGGGTTGAGTAAAAGGTGAATGTTGTTGCAGAATTTGCTTGGTATGGAGTTGTGTAACTGGGTGATGTTTGTTTGTTGCAGGTGGCAGTGTGTAAATATATGTTCAATTGTTTCGGGTAGATTACAGTGTGTGCATAGTCCATCTGGGTGTCTATTTTGTTTATAAAGTGGGTAGTTTAGGTTGGTAATGCCGGTGATTAATCTCGTGATAAGTATATGTATATGTTTGTTGTTTGAGTAGGTGGGGGTTTGCTAATAGGTTTGGTTATGATGGATTTGACCCAGGTGGATTTGTTTGTGTTGATGTTGTGTTGGTAATTTTGGTTAAGTGTGTGTGATTTAATGAGTTGTTTGGTTTCTGGTTTGGATGTGTGGACATTAATGGTTGGAGAGGTTTGTGTGGTGGCTAGTTTGGCTGCTGCATCTGCTATGTTATTACCTTGGTTGTGAGTGCGTCCTGGAATCCACATTAATGCTATGTTTTTGTTTGATTGTTGTAAAGAGTGAATCTGGAGAATGATGTTGTGTATTAGGTCGTTCGTGATTTTGAATGCTTGTTTTTGGAGTTGTTTGATAGCACTGAGGGAATCTGCTAGTATTAGGAAGTTGGTAGGGTGGAGGGTGGGGATTAGATGGTGTGCAGTTAAAATGGCTGTAAATTCTGCTGTATTGTTATTGGTGTGGTTTGTATAGTGGAGGTTTGTTGTTATCGGGGGTGTTTGATGTACATGTATGCCTATGCCTGTGCGTCTGTTTGTGCCGATCGATGCGTCTGTGTATATGTGAGTGTGGTGGGGGTAGATTAAGCTTATATGGGATTGGATGAGGTTTGTTTTGGTGTGAATGTCAGTGTGTTTAGGGAGATTTTGCAGTGTGCTTACCAGGCTGGTGTCTGTGGTGGGTGGGGGTTTGTCGTGGATGTAGCTTGTTATGGGAGGTGTGTGTGGGTGTTGTTTAACTGTGAGTGAGTGAAGCAGACTATTTAGGTGAGTGAGTAAAGGGGTTTCGTTCAGGTTGTTTTAAAAGTTTTTGATGGTGGAGTTTTTGGCGTTTTTGTACTTGGTTGTGATTATTTTATAAATTGGGTTGTGTTGGGCCCCGCCAAGTCAGTAATTGAGTGCAGTTAGGTTTATTCGCGTCTTGATTGAAGGGATGCCTGTGAGTAGGAGAAGAATGTTGTGGGAGGTGCCAGTCTTAGTGCCTAGGGCTTGTTTAAGGGCTTTATATTGGATAGAATTTAGTGTTAGTAGGTTGGATGGGGACAGGGTGTGGAGGACTGGAGCAGCGTAGTCCAGTGTCAAATGTATAAGGGTTTTATCTATGTTAATAAGTGAGTGTTTGTCGGCATCCCAGTTGGTACCACTGATTGCTCTCATGAGGTTTAAATCATTTTGACAGGAGTTGACCAAATTATTAATATCGGGTGTCCATGTCATGTGTTGGTCGAAAGTTACACCTAGAAATTTTGCTTTTTTTTCGAACTTGATTTCTTGATTATTAAAGTGTATTTTGGGTGTATAATTTTGCATTCTTTGTTTTTATAATAAGATGCCCATGGGTTTTTGACATTTATATGGAACCCCCATTTTTGGGCCGTTTTGAATATGATTTAGCATTCTTTGAGTTTTGCTTGTGGCTTGGTTTACTGAAGTAGAGGATGTCCAAAATGAGATATCGTCAGCAAATTTAGCAGTAGAAATTTCTGGCCACTTTTCCGGAAATATGTCTTTTATCATGAAGTTAAATAATGTTGGGGATATTATGCTCCCCTGGGGGGTTCCATTTTCTAGAGTATAAGGGTCCGAGATTGTGTTGTGAGATTTGAAGATTATTTGTCTGTTATTAAGGAAAAAATGTATGAAATTTAGAATACGCCCGTGTATGGCATTTTCCTGGAGTTTTTGTATGAGGCCGTTATGCCAAACCATGTCGAAAGCTTTGCTAAAGTCAATACAAATGGCCAGCGTGTACTGTTTTTGTGCCTGCGCTACCTTTATATCTTGTTCCAAATGTAAAATGTGATTTAAAGTTTGCCGATTTGGAGTGAAGCCACTCTGGTCCTGCTTGATTAGATTATGAGTTAAAATTTGATGTTTTAGTCTATTATTTACTATAGACTCTAGGGTTTTACATAGGTGAGATGTGAGGGAGATTGGCCGAAATGAATCTGAGGAGTTAATGGGTTTCCCTGGCTTTAGGATTGGCACCACCTTGGCTGTTTTCCAAGTAGAGGGTATGTTACCTGTGCTCCAGATTTAATTGAATAATGTGAGTGTGAGGTTGAGCATGCTTGTCGATAGTTTGTTGAGTATAGTGTTTGTGATGTTACTGGACCTGGGGCTGAGGCTGTGTTTTTGTGTTTAAGTGCTGCTTTGAGTTCGTAGATGTTTATAATTTTGTTTATGGGTAGATGTGAGAGGGGTGGTTCAGGTGAGTATTGGGGTAGGTTTTTTATGGTGTTTTGGAAGTGTAATGGGTAATTGGTGGAGCTGCTAGTTTCCGAGAAGTGGGCAGCAACTGTGTTGGCGTTTTCTTTATTTGTGGAGAGGTTCGGAAGGTTTGGTTGAATTATGTTTTTGGAATTTCCCATTTTCCTGGAATTATGTTGATTTAGCCTCAGGGTTGAGCACAATTTCCTCCAATGACCCTTTTTTGCTGCCGTGATGAGCTGTTCAGTGTTGTTTCTGAGTCTTTTAGCCAAATGTAAGTTTGAACGGTCCCTCTTTGATTGGTTGAGGGCCTTTTTTCTTGCCTTTCTGACTTTGACAATTTCTGGGCTCCACCATGGGACTGTGCAGGGGTGATCCGAGAATTAGGTATGCATGTATTTGTTATGTCGATGATGGTGTTGGTGAGGGAAGTGTTGAAAGCATCTGTATCAGTATTGTTTATATTAGATGCATCTACTTGTTTGCATAATTTAGTGAATTTGTTCCAATCTGCTTTGTGTAAGTTATATTTTATTTCCGAAGGGTCGGGGGGATGGGGTGATGGTGGTGGTAGTATTGGGGTTTGGTTGTATTTGGGGTGCAAGCACTGTGGATATGGTGATGTTGATGGGGCCGTGGTCACTGCCCCAGGTGTCTGAATGGACCTCCCATAAAGAAGATTTGGATAGTGTGGGTGAGGTGATTGTTAAATCTATGGCTGTGGGTTATTGGTAGCGAGATAAGGGATATCGAGTGGGTTGATTATCATTTAATGTGATTAAATTGTTGTCGTCTAGCCAGTTGGATAGAAGATTGCCATTATAGTCATTGAAGGGTTTTGTGCCCCATAATGGGTGATGGGAGTTGAGGTCTCCGAGGATAAAGTTGTTGGGCGTTATTAATTTTGATATGTTGTCCAAATCTTGAGATATTAATTTATTAGATGGTCTTCTGTAGACGTTAATAAAGGTTAAAATTTTACCTTTGATTGTTGTTTTAATAGCCAGGACTTCTAGGTTAGTGGTTGGAATGTCAATTGCTGAATAGTTTAGCTTATCTGTTTTAAACATTCCGAGGCCCCCGGCCGGGCGTCCTGGGATATTTACTATCGTTCCTAATAAAATGGTAGCCTGGGATTTTGAAGGCAGTTTTAGGTGATAATTTTGTCTCTTGTAAGAATATTATTTGGGGCGAATTTTGTGTTGGGCGATG